CTCGTAGTATCTTAAGTTATTTCTAGTTAAGGTTATAGAGTTTATAGAATTTAATCGAGGTTCTAGTTTTAAGATAGATTTCGTGATCCTATTAACTATATTAGGGAATACCTATTTCGAGGGTTTCCTTAAATAACCTACTATATTTACGATATTCTAGAGGTACGTTCTTTATCCGTTCTTTTTCTATCGTGGGTTTTTTCTTCTTTTCTTCTTATAGGGCTTAGTTTACTTCGAATATCTTTTATATAATATTAGCGATAATTCGTTTTCCTTGTTTATATCGTATACCCGGTTATAACGCTTTCTCGGTCGATACTATAGCTTTTACCTACTTCGGCTCGCTTATATCTTCCTATAAAGATACTCTAGAGGCTAAGTCGTCGCGAATATTCGCTTTCTTCTAGCTAAATAATAATTATCGCGTTATCGTGTCTATCCACGCTAACTAGCTAATACGCTAATCGACTACCGGATTACTTCTCGTTAACTATAGGTAACCTAGTATTATATCGTATTTATATAAGTCTATAATATCGAAGACGATTATCTTATAATATCCTTATATCGCTGCGTTAAGATAATCGGTCTCGCGGTCGATAGTCCTATTATTATAATCGAAGTTTTATCCTTCGACGTTAAAAAGCTTATATAATCGAGCCTTATAATTCTATAGTAGCGTATATCGGTTAACCACCGTTAGTAAGATATAGTTTCCTATTACTCTACTATCTAATAGTACTCGCAGGTAATATCCATTAATCTAGACTTCTTAAACCGTTTTCTATCCTCCGTTTATCTCTACGGAGCAGAGGGTTTTTAGGTTTTCTTCGTCGTCTTATGCCCTTTTTATAGGCGATATTAATAGTTTTTTAACGGGTAGTATTCTATATCGATAGTATTATCCTTAAGGTCGTATATATAGCTACTACCGTATGACTCTAGGTATATCGAGGGGTATCGCTTCCCTTCCTCTTCGCACGGGTGATATATATACCCGTAGTAGTAAACTCCGTAGTCTAATATATATCCTTCGTAATACCTATATATAATATACTATATATATGCCTTTCCTTACGGAATAAGGTATTCTCGTGCTCCGATCCTATATCGTAGGCGTAGCGTTTCCTTCGCTCTAGTATATCTTTCGCGGTTTATCTTACCTTAGTTAATATAGTCTCGATCCGCTTATTCGGTAAGGTCGAATAATAATCTTATACCGTTAGGGTGCTTCTTATATCCCTTATACCCTTATTTATAGCTTAAAGCGCATTCCTTACTCTTAACTATCTTAATACCGAGTAATGCTTTTACGGCGTTCTTATATCGTCGGAGCTCTTCTATCTCTTTTTATTCCCTAGTCCTATGCTAATTAAATACCTTTGCCTTAGCGTATCGTAGGCAGTCTACTAACTAGTATCTACGCTATATCTTCTAGTCTCGTGCGCATACTTCGGGGTATTTCGCTAACTACCTTAGTATTATATATCCTATACTAGGTTTTATATATATATACTCGTAGAACTCCGCTTTATATTTTTCGTATAGGTCGTTAATAACGCGGGTGGCTAGTCCCCTAATTAGGTAAACTTAATACCTTCCTTTATTAAGTATATATATTTTATAAAAGTAATATATATAAGAAATCTATAAGAGTTCGTAGTGTTTTAGTATATCTAGGTATATACGTAGGTCGTCTCCTAAGACTATTCTTCGGTCTACTACCTAATTAATTCCTCCGTTTAGCGTTTAAGCGGGGATAACTATCTAAAGATCTTCCCCTTGCGGTAGAGGGTCGTACCGATCTATCGCTACCTTTATCTATTCTCGTAGGGTTGCTCGTCCGTGTAATAGGTTAGTTTCGAGTATCCGTTTCTTTTATAAGAGCTCTTCGCCGCTATCTATAGAGTCGGTATTAAATAATTCTTTATTTACGTTATCCGGGTGCTACCCTAGTCCTATAGTAACTTTATATATTATAGCTAGAACGCGAGACCCGCGTAGTGCCTTAGGGAACTATCCTAAGTTTTCCTTACTATCCCGGTGGGTTAGGTAGCTATCGTCGTAGTATCCTAACTAATATAACGCTTCGTGGGGTACCGGTTACTTTCTTACTTCTTCTCCGGCCTTCCTTATTTCTTCGAGGAACTTCTATCGTTCCTTCTCCCTAGAGGATACTATATTTTACGGGGGGCTAATATCGTATCCGGACCTAATTATATTTAGCTACTTATACTTACCTTTAGGGACTAGTTTCTAGCCCCGGCTTCGTTCTTTCTTTAGGGAATAGTATTCGCGCGTAAAGTATCCTTTCTTACCGTAGTTATAGTAGGTAAGGTTCTTTTTATCTATCGCGGCGAGCTTTTATTCTATCGTATCGAGATCTATTAGTCCCGCATAGGTTCCGCCGAGAGCCGTACTCTAGTAGAATCGCGGTTATCCTATATTAGGGTAGATTCGGTTTTTGCTATTACGATCGCGGTTTAAGGTATTAGTAAAGTACTATCCCTTCTTCTCGCGTCGTCGCTCGAATTATCGGTTATCGATCTTAACGACTATCGCGATATAGCTCGCGAGGGTAGCGGGTCGGTCTTCCTTATATAGCTCGTCCTTAACCTCGTCCTTAAGACCTCGGTAAAAAGAGGCTATCTTATCTCCTTTACTCTTAGTAGTCCTAGACGCGATTTAGGTAAATAGGGCGCCGTAATCCGAGGCTAACCCTTTTTATTTTAACGCCTCTAGTTAGTTCTTAGCTAGGCGTTCTTCGTCGATAGTCCCGAAGGTCGCTTTTAATATTTCTTTAAAGTTATTATAGTACGCGAAGATATCTTTCGTTTCTTATTTTCGGTATTAGTAAGTATTAGTTACGAAGTCCCTAAGAGTAGGTTCGAACTATACGAGAGCGGCTCCTAATAAATATCCTACCGCGTAGCGTACTTTATCTTCTTCCGTACGAAGGATAGACAGGAAGTACTATTAGTAAGCTCTAACCTAAGTTAGGAACCCTTAAAGGTCCTTAGTCGTACTATCGAATAGTCTTAGTTAGCGTGGCTTTATAATTTCTCCTAGGTCCTTGCCGGTAGCCTATCGAATAGTATTATTACTTACGCTATTTATCTCGTTTCTTAGCTAGGCGGCCTACTACTATTATAAGGTTATTCCTTCGTAGAAGGAACGGTAGGCTTCGTCGTATTATTACTTATCGCGGGCTTATATATCGAGGACTTACTATAGCTATCCTTATAACTCTTAGATCTACCCCTTAAGGATCTTTATATCCTTATCGTCGGACTTATCTAAGTCTAAGTCTATAGACTAAGCTATCTAGGAGGGTTTGGTATACTTAGCTATAGCCTTGCCCTTATCGGCGGACTTAGGGGTTATTTTAGAGGATTCGCTAGCTATAGTATCGTATTACTTAAGTACTTAACACGGTAGTATACTAAATAAGAGCTATTAATATATAACGTTCGGGTTAGACTAGCTATAGGGTAGGTAGATCTAAGGTCGGTTTATAAACTAAGTATACTAGGATATTATTAACTTAAGCGGTCGGGTTATAGTCTATATACGAGATAGTAGATCTTACGTAGATAATTATATTAATAGCTAAGGAGCTAGTAGAGACTAACTATAGCGAAGCTAGGCTTCCTATATACTAAGGTAATTACGTAGTAATTACGGTTAAATAAGAGTAATTAATAGTAATTAAATATAATTAATTACCGTAGTCGTGGTATTAAGAGTTAGTGATTAGTGTGATTAGTACGTGGTTAGTAGAAATAGTAAGTCCTTAGTCGTACGAATAGGGATTCGTGCGACCGGTATTCGTGCGAACGATATTCGCACGATTATCGCTTATTTAAGCGGCCGGCATACCGCTTTATACTTTACTATATAAAGAATATGAATAGGTTCGTACGACGAAATTATAGGGCCCACGTGACATGCGTTAGTGGCCGCATATTGGGTCGTAATATATATTACGACCCGATATATAACTATATACGCCTCTTATATACCCCCTTATTTTTTTCCTCTTATTATACGTTACCCGTATACTATATAGAATAAATAATTATAAGCGACTAGCGACTATAGTCGACTATGTTATAAAAGCGCTCGTAAACGATAATCGACTATCGTCGACTTTATAATATTTACTTAGTATATAAGAAGCCTAGCTTTACTATAGTTAGTCTTTACTAGCTCCTTAGCTATTAATATAATTATTTACGTAAGATTTACTATCTCGTATATAGACTATAACCCGACCGCTTAAGTTAACGATATCTTAGTATACTTAGTTTATAAACCGACTTTAGATCTACCTACCCTATAGCTAGTCTAACCCGAACGTTATATTACTTTATTAAGGAACCGGTAGCTTTAGATATTTAGATATAAGTCATAGACTTTCGTAAGTTAATAAGATTTATTTAGCTCTAGTATCGTTTAGTGGTTATTATTATATAGCGGATAATTATTTAGGAAGCCTTAATAATCCTAGCTACTAGGGTTATATAAGCTCACGATAACTACCCTACTTATGCCTATTGCTGCTGGAATAGCATCCTCTAGCAAACGCTCGATATCCTAGGGCAAAGTTCCCTCTAAGGTTTTGCAGTGATTGTGAATTAGGCGGAGTCTATCTATATATGTCGAAACTATGTGACTTATCATAAGGATGCGCCTTCAATCTCTTTATCACGGGCTGCAGCGGGAAAGGTGAACTTTTAACAGAGGAGTCCTGAGATACCGTCCTCGCTTGAGATGTAAAGGCGCCGTTTCGGACCTGTTTGCTTGGAAGATGTTTTTTTGCTTCCTCGATGGCACCGGTCGACCATTCGGACTCGCCTTGTTGGCAGCTTGCCGCCTCGAGCGCAGCTAGGACGTCAGCCCAAGCCAAATTCTGGAATAGGTCGGAGAGCCTTGAGCCTGTTGAGAGCCAGCCTCTGAATTGAGCCGACTTCAGGACCCCAACGCCCGTGAAGGTGCTTTCAAATAACCAAGATCCTTCGCCGTGTTTCATCGTTTAGCTGAGAAGCTTCCAGCGAGATCTTTCCTACCCTTGGGGTCTTCTGTCGCGCCGGGTTGTTTTTTTGCGCAGGGCTGTCGTTACAATTCGAAGACGCTGGCCCTCTGTATTCATTGGCAAACTTCTCCAGGTCTTCTTCTAGCCAGTAATCATTCCACTCTTCTAAGCCCGAAATACATGACTTGTTGATGCAGATGACCTTGTGTCCTCCCTCGTAAACGGATTCGGTGTCCTTCTTGACAAGGTTTTGAGGCCCCGGGAGCTGAGGGTTCAAACTCGTTCCTATAATGAGAAATAGATCAGGTGGAGCTTTTGTATCCAGCGTGACTGCTTCACGAGCCACGTCGACTAGATGGTTAGGGTCGTTCAGAAAGACAATATTGGGCAATAGCATTCCAGTGGCTCGTCTACTTTTCCCATTTCGCGTTCGATCGTCTTCGGATGCTGGGCAGTGTCGGCAAGACGTGCACGGATCCGCGCGCGTCCCCGCCTTCCAGCCAGAGGCGTAGCTAGTTCAATTGGAGCTCTTCGAGCTATGTCTTATCGATAGAGCCAGTCCTGCCGAGGAGAGTGCCTATCCGTAGCAATAAACCCGAAATACGTTCCCCGTCCACCAGCCCATAGTGACGCCCGTGATAATATATCTTTGTTAAAAATAGGGTATATTCTGCCCTATATAGAGGCCTTACTGTCAAAGGCGGGTGTCGTTCTTAGTCAAAAGTAGGGGTGCTCTATTATGTCTTTGTAAAGCTAAAGAAGGAGAAGAGAATCAGGAACGGAGTGTCACAGCTCGACTCTTCAGCTACGATATCGCACTAGGTTACCCTATACTTATCACGTGGAGGAGCGCGCATGGACCTGCGCGCATCTCCTTTCTCTAGCTAGACGCGTAGCTAGTTCTGTTGTAGCTCTTCGAGCTACGTCTTGTCAACAGAGCCAGTCCTTCCTGAGGAGAGTGCCTGCACGTGCCATCCTTCCCCCACGTGATAAGATCCGCCTACCATCCGAGATTTGCGCATTGCTAACGATAGCTTTCGCTGTTAGCGTCTCACTAATTCAAGATAAAGACATCGACCGACGGAACTACCGCGACCAGCTCATAAGCTAGGCATTCAGCTACGTTCAGTAATTAATTTGCAACGATTTGAATGTAACGCGGCGTATTCTAGCCCTCGCATAGACGTTATCCAGGGCGTAATGTCGGTCAGGTCGTTGTCTTCCTCACGTTAGGCGTTCTGCTAATGAGCTATACGTTGAAGTCCGACATGAGCGTGGGTTTATTGTCCCGGAGGGCGTGGGAAATAGGAGCACGTACTGAATATTCTTATCCGAGGCGCCGGATAGGATTTCAATTTTAAAGTAGTATATAATAGTCTTTTTTACTATTTAAAATAAAATTAATTCTAAAAATAGAAGAACGCGTGAGCCGCGCAGGTGCGATATATATAAGGATAACTTAGTTAATAGCTTCTATTTTTAGAGGTTATAGGTTCCGAACTCAGACGAATTAACCTCTAGTAATAAAAGATATTACGCGGAAAGGAAGAGCTAGATAGGATTATATATTTTTTACTAAGTATAGTTATATATAATAATAATAATTATTATTAATTATTATAGCTTATTATATAGCTTACGATAAGAAGATAAGAGGTATAGTATACTTAAAATATATAATTATTAGTATTTAATTAAAAAATATAAAAAATACTTACTAAGCGTAATATTCGTATTATATTAGATCGTTATAATAATTTATTTAGTTATTTTATTAATAATCTTAAATATATCCCGGATATTATAAATAACTTTATTAATATTTTAAGTAACTATCTTTATTTCTTATTATATATTATAAATTACTTAGCTCTCGCTTAATAAAAGCCTTATAAATATAAATAATTTATAAGATATAAGCCTAAGTAAGCCTTAAGAAAACTTATAATCGATATATATACTTAAGTAAATTATAATAAGAAATATAAGGAAAAGAATTAATTCTTTTATAATAATTTTAAATTATAAGCTCGCGATTTAAAAAAGCCTTTATTTAATTAATAAAAATATAAAAACTAAATAAATTCTCTTCTAAATAGAGTAAGTCAACATGCAGCCCCGAAAGAATCATTCTATGGAGACCCCACGTGCAATGCTCGAGCACTATTACTTGCTGCCCCCGACGTGACACTTGACAACACCTACTCCTTGCGGCTGTAATTTATGGAGAAGAATATTCCTAGACTATGCGTCTTTGGGTATCTTTTGGTATTTCCTTCGGAAAGAACGGCAGAAGATTCATCGCCAGAGCAGAGCTTGTCGTCGTTCGCACTGCTCCTGCCGGTGAAGGCCTGCCTGCCTGCCTTTGGATTCGCAGGTCAGCTTCAATACAGAAGAATAGATCACAGCTCTGCGCTTTTTACAGTCATGCCTCGACTTTGGAAATGGGATCAATACGTGCTAGAGCCTGTGAAAGCTTGAGGGCCAAGTCGGGCGTCAGCAGCGGGATGGATCGAGACATGAGCTACAGCGTAGGTGCTGTTCCACAGCTAAACGTTGTTTATGTATAGAAATCTTGAAGAGGGTATTTCAGAAGGCCACAGGGTCTTCCGCGATATTGTTTGTATAATGCATCACGTATAGAGTCGCAGAATTGCCCAGGACTGGCCCCGCTCGGGCGACGCCTCTGGAGGATATGCAAGTACAATCAAGAATTTCTGAAATTTGCGCTGATGGGAAGCTTCCTATAATATATATCGGTTGCTGGGGTAAAGAGTTTACTCAATGATAGTATTGTGACAAATTTCCCCATTGGTCTCACAGCTAGACAATAGGCGCAAGCAACCGGTGGTTGGAACGGTTCGTGCATCGACCCTCTGAGCCTGCTTTCCTAAGCCTCGAATAATACTACTCTAGGATAGATAGATTTGCAAAAGCAGCACGTACCCGGGATATAATCAGAGCCGGACCGGCCGGAGCTCCGGGTCCCCAAACTTTGCTCGTCGCTTGCTGCCGTTGCTTGTGGGATCGGGCAACCCGTGGATATAGCCAAGAACCGACCTGTCTTATTTATCTCGGTAATTGTGTCACGGAAAAGAATAGAAGTTATCACGAGGGACCCTTTGGCGGAACCAAATAGAACAGCCCCAGTCACCTCTTGCTCCACCTATCTGCATAGTGAGGTCGAAACTGATCACATAAATCGACTACAAGCTCGGCGAAACGGGTCACTTCCGTTGAGGTCTGTGGATCATACTGACGGCGGCACCCATCATTGGCGTCGCAATCTTACCATCTCTTATTGGTGCTCTGTGCGTGGGACAGTCCGGGAGGCATCTTAACAACATGCTTTGCTCGATTTCGCCAGTAGCTGTCTATGTCTATAGAAAGACTATCTTATTTAGACTTTGCGAACAGCTTCTTCCAACTTGAAGATACTGTTCCAGCAGACTCCACATCAGTGTGCGTCGTGGATGCCTCAAGGACATCATCAGGGCTATATACCAAGTTGATCTCCTCAGCTGGGATGAGCCAGCCATCGCCGCGTCCGACTGTGAACTTGTGCCCAAAGAACAACACAACAAAAAGAAGTGTCCCAATATAAGCTGTCAGGAAGTCCGACACATCCCACTCCGAAGGGAAGAAGACATAGAATCCGTTGAGCAGACCGACAACAACTGAGAAGACAATGCAGACGTATGCACCAGGCTTTCCGCAGACTGACTTGTAAGGCAGGGTCGAGCGATCCACGCCCTGGACTTCGATGGCTGTGCGGAACCGAAGGTACGCAAGAGAGATACAGCCCCATGAAAAGAAGGCGGCCATGTTGATCATGTTGACTAACCAGTTGAAGACGACGCCGGCGCTGGAGCTGACATTCAGATACGCTAGAAGCGCGAGGACAGTACAGCTCGTCACAGCGTAGTACGGCACCCCCCATCTGGACGTCGTAGTGAAAAACTTGGGCGCGTTGCCCGCTACGGCGAGGGAATATATCGATCGCGAGGCGAGGTACATGTAGATGTTGCCGGCTGACCACGCCGAGCACAGAATGACCGCGTTGACGATGTGATCGAGCACGCGGATGCCAGAGTCCTTGATACCGATGACGAAAGGCGACGCCCCGTCCCCGGATCCTCCCGAAGATAGCTCTGGGGCGTCAGATGGGCAGGTCAAAGTCACTCCGAGAATCGGTAGGACGTAGAAGACGACAAGACGAATTATGAAGACTTTGGCAGCCATGGGGATTGTCTTTAGAGGGCTTCGGGTCTCGCCGCCGCATGTTGCAACCATTTCGGCGGCAAAGGTCAGCTTGAGGAAATGGTTAGCTAGAGAATTTGGGGACTCTGTGCTGGATGAACTTTACCGGCAATACGACACTGACGAGAACACCCAGGAAAGCCACAAACTTGCCGGACCCTCCGTCAACAATCCAAGCATTTGCAGGACCAGGGTCATGCCAGTACTTGAATCCCAAAGTTTCTCCCGACGGTCCTCCGCCTGCCGCAAGAACAACTGACAAGATCAGGATGCCTGTCAACATCGATAGCTTCAGCGAAGAAAAGGCAAACTCGGCTTCTCCGCTGTTGGCAACCGGCAGATAGTTCAGGCCGACGATGATGACGAAGAAGATCGTAATGAAAACAGCGTCGGGGACGGGCGGGTTCCAGTAATGAATGATGAGTGTCGCCACGGTGATCTCGAAGGGCACCAGGATCGAATAAGCGTACCAGTAGTTCCAACCCAGCGCGAACCCAAAGGACTTGGACAGGAAGCGTGTCGTGTAGTGGTCCGGACCAGAGCCGTTCAGGGGGATGTAGGCGGCCATCTCGAAGAGAAGCGTAGAGAAGACCCAGACAAAGGAGCAAATAATAGCGAAGCCAGCGAGACACAGTGCAGGGCCGCCCCTATTCAAGGTTCGGCCTGATCCGACAAGATATGCCGTGCCGATGCATCCTGAGAAGTATCACGTCAATTTGCTTCCTAGAATTAACTGCCCGAGAACTTGGAGCTTACCTCCCATGGCAATCATGTATAGATGCCTCGACTTGAGCTTTGTATGGACCGCGGCTTTGGTACTCTCCAGCACCTGCCCATCGGATACGTTGGCGGACCCAGCCCCCATGGTCTTCTTCTCTGTCGCAGTGCTCATTCCAGAAGCTGATATGTCCAGTTCGACGGCACGAGACGCGGTCATTAAACCGCTAAGTCGGGTCAGGGTGGAAGTGATGGTCAGACTGCAGCGCCGAGCAGAACAAGGGCGGATTCGGCGATATCTTATAACTCACGATGTGCTGTATGCTTCACGTCCGCAGGCCCGGGAGGATTGGTCACTGACGTTGGAGCTTATCGCACTTTCATTTGAGTCTTCCGACACCACTATGGCCCTGTCGATTCGATACTCTGGGCACTAGGCAGTACTGGCAAGTGTTATCAAACGTGGGTGCGCCACCGAAACCTATCTCTCAGAACCCTGCCAACACCATCGCCTGTTTATGCTGTTATACGGGTAAGCCATGCTTTCGGTGGGCCCCCCATGGGGCGAGCTCTGTATCGCGTCGATACGGATTCGCCCTAGCTTGCGGCTAGGTATCTCTACTCCGCATTTCTTTGTTTGCTCGTGGAATGATAGCCGCGCGCCTTTCCCCGCGTCCAGTCCGAGGAGTTGGATAATGTACGTAAGAGCACGTAACTGGGCGTAGTTCCCCACTGTATATCAGACTATCGGGTCGTCACTGGGATGCGGCGCATGCGGCGGCCATTTGCGTGCTTATCAGCCCTCACCCTTGCAACCCCAACCATGTCCATGTCCACTCCACTCCACGCGAGGCGAGGCGAGGCTACGACCATCCCTCCGACTGAAACCCGCTGCCGTTATTAACCCTACGACGATTCCCGCTGGAGTCGCTGCACACGCCCATTGGATTCCAAACTTATGGAGCAGCCGTCAGCATCATCTGGCGCCGCTGACCGCCCGACACGCCGGCGTTTTGCCGTCGATGGTCGCGTTCGTTCGGGCTGCTTGACATGCAAGGCCCGTAAGAAGAAGTGCGACGGTCAGGTTTCCAACCTTGACGGCCGTTGCGGCTCCTGCACGCGCCTGGGGCTGGTCTGCGAGAAGGCGCCTCTTCGGACTGTCCAACCTCGACCAGCCAGGAGGAAGGGAAAGGCTCGTGCAGACCAGGAGACTTCCAGCCCGCAAACATCCTCCAACAAGGGAGAGAAAGGGTCAGAAAGCCTGTCATCGGGCAGCCCTCCAGACAACAGTCCTGCGGAGAGGTATCGCGATGGTGCTGGCCAGGGGTCTGGTCTTCTGGTCAACGCCAGCACCGACTTCCCTCCTATGACAGCATCTCTGGATGATGGAGAGCGTCGATTCCTCCTCAAATACTTCTTGGATCACGTTGCACCCCTTTGCTCGATTCTGCAGAAGGATGGAGCCGTGTTTTCCTCCGTCTTACTGCCCATGGCCATTGTCGACCCGCCATTACTATACGCACTCTTTGCTTACGCTTCGGTCCATTCCAACGCTGCCACAGCAAAGGATCCTGATACGACTGACGCGCGTCGAGAGTACGAGAACCAGGTCGCTCGAGGTGTAGCTGAGGCAATCAAGCGGAATGCCGTCACTGAGACAACAGTAGCATGTGCGCTGGTGATCAGTACTACAGAGGTTGTTGCGGGGGACACGTCGCGTTGGCTCCTCCATCTTCAAGGCGCCGGTCATCTTGTTAATCATCTCGGGCCATCAAGACTCTTGAAAACCAACGATGGAAAGTTTCTCCTACGTTATTTTGCCTACCATGATATCATGGCATCGCTGAGCACTGCTCGACGGCCCTTGTTGGAGGGCGTGTATTGGGTAGAAGAGGTTGAGGCCATGGTCGAGTCCGCTGATTCGTTCATGGGCTTAGGCCACCACATCTTTCGACATTTGCCGGAAGTATGTGCCTTTGTCGAAGACACAGCGGACCTGAATTCTTCATCAGACGCTGACCGGCGGGCCAGAGAAGCTTTGCGAGCCGAAGACATGGCCCAAGCACTTCGCACACAAGACCTGCGCATTCGAGTTGATCTGGAAGACGGCAACAAGAACGCACTCCTCAATCATGCCGAAGCGTTCCGTTTCGCTTCTCTTTTATACCTCTACCGCCATCTTCTGCGTTTCTGCGACGCCGGTGCCGTCTACAAGCTGCGCATGAACGACTGTCTCCGACAGGTCCTCCGGCACGTCGCCCAAGTGCCAGAAAATTTATTTTGCGAGATGGGCCTTCTATTTCCCTTGTTCATGGCTGGTATTGTAAGTGGGGGTGACAGCGGCTCAAAGGAGTATGTTCAGCGGCGCCTCCTAGGGATTGAGAATTGGACCAAGTTCAAGCATGTCAAGAGAACCCGCGAGTTATTACAGCTGCTGTGGGAGAGGAACCGAACAGACTGGGAAAATGTACTTTTGGAGTTGGACTGGAAGTTGTCCTTGGCGTAATGGCTCGGATCATATATGGGAGTTGGAACAATTACCAGGTTGAGGCTTGGTGAAGCGGTTTGGAGTTCAATTAGCGGCTTTATTTGGGAGTATCTCGCCCCATCATTTGTACCGCTTTCTGCTGGTACGCTGGCCTATAGGAATCAAGTAGCTTCGAATGCCGAGCTACCCTCATTCAGGCAATACAGGGCTTGAGCTGGAAGAAACAGCAGTAGTGTTGAAATGTCTACGAAGACAGCTCCGACCATTGAGCAGTGATATTGCTTTGCGAGATTGGAGATTCGCCACTAGATAGACCCCGCATGAATTTCGACGCGAGTATACGCTGGATAGATCTGGGCTTATCTTTTCGTGGACTCGCGCATGCGGCGGGCATCCCCAACTGTGGGCAACTTCGACGCCCTGCCGCCCACATGTTCAATGAGGGGGTGTTGCAATGGATCTAGAACTGGGGAAGCTTTCATCGAATGTCCGATTATGCATCGAATTTGCTTGATATGGGGACTCGTTTGATACGAAGCCGGTAACGGAGTTATCAAACGGCTCTTCGCATTCAGGGCGAGCAAGCGTCGCATTTCGCAAGGCACAAAGTAAACGAAGCGTGGACCCTTCCCAAGGTATCAACTGCTCACATCTCACTTGAATTTTCAACAGCATGGGATCTATCGAAAACACTCCAGAGGGCATTTCGTCCGACGATGTCATCGAGCTTACACAAGCCTTGGTGCGAATTGACTCTTCCAATCCAGACTTCGGCTCAACACCTGGCCCCGGAGAGAGTGTCATTGCCAACTTCATCACAAAATGGCTGAAACATCGCGACATTGAGTGCCATTGGGTCGAATCAACACCGGGACGGCCCTCTGTGGTCGGAATCGTGCGCGGCACGGGCGGAGGCCAGAGCCTCATGCTGAACGGGCACATCGACACGGTCACCTGCCTAGGTTACGATGGAGATCCCCTGAGTGCCGAGATCAAGGATGGGAACATGTACGGTCGAGGCACTGCCGACATGAAGAGCGGGCTCGCGGCGAGTATGCTTGCGCTTGCCGGCGCCAAATCGAAGAAGCTGAAGGGCGACGTGATCCTTGCTGCAGTCGCCGACGAAGAGTCGGAGAGCAAGGGAACAGAGGAGGTGCTACGGGCAGGGTGGCGAGCAGATGCTGCCATCGTCGCAGAGCCCACAGAAATGGCTCTCATAAACACGCACAAGGGCTTTGCCTTGTACGAGGTCGATATTCATGGTGTGGCGGCTCACGGGTCTCGCGCTGATCTGGGCATCGATGCCGTATGCAAGGCTGGGTACTTCCTGGTCGAACTCGACAAGCACGCGCAAGAGATTCAACACCGCTTCGGGGACGAGAAGCCCGAAACGGGTGCGCCGAACATCCATGTCGGGATGATTCGAGGCGGCGAGGAGATCGCTTCGTACCCAGCTACCTGCTCCATTCAGATCGAACGGCGCACTATTGCGGGAGAGACGGCAGAGACCGTGAGACTCGAGCTGTTGGAGATACTGCAGCGCCTGGAAGCAACAGTGCCCAACTTCAGTTTCGATCTAAGGTCGACCTTCTCTCGAGCTCCGTTCCACCTGCCCAGAGATAACGATTTCGTCCAGCTCGTCTCCAAGCACGCGAACCAGGCCATGGGTGTGAAGCCTACGATCAAGGGCGAGACATACTGGACAGATATGGCTTTGATGGACGAGGTTGGCATCCCGGGATTGATCTGGGGTCCCAAGGGATATGGTCTCCATGCCAAAACGGAATGGGTGGAGGTCGAGTCTGTGCGTCAGCTTGCGAGTGCGTTCGTTGGCATAGTGGAAGACTTCTGCAAATAGTAGCCACGGAGACTGATTAATATAAGATGTTTTGCATATTCAAGTAAAGTGATCAATGGTGCAGTAACAACTGGAGGCGACCATGTCAGGAGGCTGATCACACTCGACTGCAGTGAAACTATACTTCGTCTGAAGTATCATGGTTGCAGCATCACAGCGGGGCTTGGGGAGCATTAGTTCAATAAATTGGTATTCTATAAGTGCAAGTTTGGTGAGCGTCCTGCATTTCTAAGCTATGAAGCCCCTTGATACTCGCTAAAGTCGTACTCAACATCATAGTCCTCCGCGTCGACATCGCCGTCAGAAAGCTCGACATCCCGGAGGTTCTCACCATCGTCTTCCTCTTCGGCGGTGAAACCATAGTCTTGCTTGCGAATCTTCTTCCAAGCAGCCAGTGTCTGCCTGCGGGTGACGCAGAACGGTAGCTTCGACAAGGAGACGCAGCCATCCTCAGTGACCTCGACCGTCTGCCCAACGGAGCTGGCCGTGTCTGTAACCATGTCCATAAGAATGATGTGAATGAAGAATACCATGCCCTTTTTGGCGACGACGTCCTGCCCTCGCACGAACATGGGGTAGTCCATCCACGTGGGTGAAAAGGTTGCACCCATGCTGTAGCCACAAGCGTTGAGCCTCATGTCCTTGAAGCCATTCTCATCAGCGACGCGAGCATACGCCTCAAAGACATCGCCGAGAGGCTTTCCAGGCTTGAGGGCATCCATGGCGGCCCTCATCTGTATGACATTGACCTCGTGCATTCTCCTGGCTAGCTTGGTGACTCCGTTCAGGGGAATGGTCCGCATCAGACAGGCGTGATAGTGCTTGTATGCTGCAGCATGCTCTAGAGTGACCTGTCGGTCGATTCTGGACCTTCCCGTAGAGTATCGAGTCAAGACGGCCTTGTTACCCGAAACGAGGATGTTCTCGTTTGCAGGATCGTCGCCACCGCCCTCATAGACGGTACCCACAATCTCCCGCCAAAGGTCACCTTCGTACGCGCCGGGTTTCGCGACCTTCAGCGCGCGCACCAGAGCGAAATCGACGAGGTAGGCCGCCTTCCGAATCTTGCGCATCTCAGTCTCGGACTTGACGAGTCGCAGCTCGCGGGTGAACAGATTGCTATGGTCCACCATCGTGCAAAGTCCCTCAACAGCCTGAAGGAGAAGCTGACCGATCTGGAGGGTCAAAGTGCAAGAGTTAGGCTCGTAGCCGATCCTTTTTGAGGGGGAGTTGATGCCAAATTCCTTGAGCACCTCGGGCACGAGGGCCACAGGGTTGGACCCTGCATCGTCCGGTCTGATCATAACGTCCTTCTTCTCAAGAATGGATGTATATAGAGCCTGGCGCAGATCTGGCGCGCGGGTGATGAGGCGGATGCGTCCATCCCTGTGGAAGTACATTGCCTGGAAAAAGACATATCCAAAGGTGTCGAAGCCGGTGAAGTAGTAGAGGGACTCTTGCTTGGTCATGAGGAACCCGTCGAGATTCTCCCTCTCCATGAGGGCGAGGGCGCGGTTGCGCCTCTCCTGAAACTCTTCCACCGTGAAGTGGAGAGCCTTCTTGAAAGACTCGGGCTTTCTGACGGGCACCATTGTAGGCAACGTCGAGATATGTTTGATGTGTCTTGAGGAGGAGGAATGAAGATGTAAGTAGAAGAGTGAGTGGGAAGATGGACAGTGTGCCGGTGCTGGAATGTTATCAAAACTACGTAAAGAAGAGCATGAGACGCATTTATGGCAATCTGTTAATCATTCAACGGTCCGGGAATACGCGGTTGGGGACATCGTGTAGTCCGAAGGTCGGCAGCTAGCTCGTGCTCATCAAGGCGTGAGGGGAGTGTGGCCTCGAACATGATAACGGGGACCTGTCTGCAGCTGTGGAGGAGGTCTTGATGGAGTATGCTCTCCAGAGTCTCTCGCAGAGTGCTGCGTTCGAGCTCCAAGCGTATCCGGCGGTCTCGTGGGCGACTGATACCGAACAAGCCTGGCTTCAGCCAATCCAGGACTGACAGGCAGAGTATCTGAGAGACTCAAGATGCTGAGGTGGTCCTTCATCCCCGCAAATAAAATGCTGATTTGCGCAATAGAGAATGGGTTCCGGGTCTGGTCTCACGTTGTGGCCGCGTTCTCAGACCCAGCATCATACCGTTCGCCACCGTCAGCCAGGCATCTCGGAGGAATCCAATAATGCAGTGCTGATGACCGGCCCAGGCCCACGCGCTGAGCGCACACAGAGGCGGGATCCCGCACACGGCACACTTCCCGTTGAGTGAACACCTTCGGTATAGACACGTCCGCGCTTGTCTGCGGCGGGCGTATCGGGCGGGCATCGCTTACAGCGATATTTTGATAGCGTCGACCGAAGTCACTCCTATCCGGCCACATGGATCTCCAGCTGCCGACTTGAACCCCTTCTTCTCACGTTCTCGCCACATTATTCTCCATGTCGAAGCGTGCTGATGGGGCTACAACAATCAATCACAATCACCGAGCAACGACGACACGGCAGTAACCTCCAAAGGCAATCCGAGCTACTTGGCTTCGGGTGAACGGGACGGCGATTGCTAGGCCTGTTTCTAGTGCCTCTTGTCTGCAACATCAGCATGGATGGAAGGGACACTTACGAGACGGTTCAAGCGAGTCTGTTCACCGTAACAGAAGTATCAGCATCATGATTCATGGATTCGCGTGCTGTTCTCGAATCAATGTCACGCCTTCGGTGTATGGTTTAAGTAACGAAGCCAAACCATGAATCGATTTGTTGGGGGATGGCTGCGTCTATTCTATCGTTTCACTATTGTTGAAGTATACACGTCAAAGCTTGCCCCTGCGATCTCAGAAAGGAGTCGAAGAGGTAACGCTCAATCGACTTCAAACTTTGTGATGCGCACGATCCAAGACCTGGAGTTTGAGTCGCAGCCTCAGAGCTTGGAAGTCGCTCCGACTGTAAGCGTGCCCGTCTTCTGAATAAGATACTCCTCGATGGCGACGTCCTTGCCCGCTTCTTTACCATAGCCCGACTCCTTGATTCCTCCAAAGGGGGATTCAGCTCCGGACGCATTGCCTGCGAGGATTGGTCAACGTTCCGATTACCGTTGGCCATGTGAATGAGGAGGGTCGTACCTGTGTTCATGCCAACCATGCCAGCTTCGAGGCTCTCGAGCATTCTCCACGTGCGGTCGACATCTTTTGTGAAGAAGTACGACGCGAGGCCCATGGAGGTGTCGTTGGCCGCTTTGACGACTTCTTCCTCGGTCTCGAAACTGTACAATCCAAGAAGAGGACCGAAAATCTCCTCCGTCGTGGTCAACATGGAAGAGTCCATGTCACCTACGATGGTTGGCTCAAAGAAGTACCCATCCAACCCAGCGGGCGCTTTACCTCCGCATAGGACCTTGGCACCTTTAGAAACAGCATCTGAGACGTGTCTCTCCAATTTGGCCGCGGCCCTCGATGTCGTCAGGGCGCCCATTGTGGTCAAGGGGTCAGCACCGTGACCAACGCGGATCTGACGAGTAGCTTCCACCATCTTCTGTGCGAACTTCTCATAGACACCGCTTTGTACGTAAACTCTGTTCGCGTGTGTACAAGCCTGCCCAGCTGTGCGCCACTTGAGAATCATGAGCGCGGCTGCGGCCTGGTCTAAATCACCGTCGTCGAAGACGATAAATGGACAGTTGCCACCGAGTTCCATGGTCACCTTCTTCAGACCATGAGAGCAGTGTTGGGCGATAATGCGTCCCACCGCCGTGCTGCCGGTAAATGTGACTTTACGAACAAGAGGATGTTTGCAAAGAGCCTCGCTGAGTGACGGGGTGTTTTCGTTGTCGGTGGTGATGACATTCAGCACACCTGGCGGCAACCCGGCTCGAAGAGCTAGGTCAGCGAGCGCTAGGGTGCTAAGAGGCGTTTCAGGAGAGGGCTTCACAATCATCGAACAGCCCGCTGCCAGAGCCGCAGCAACTTTGCGGATGTTCATGGCCACCGGGAAGTTCCACGGCACGAGAGCGACGCTGACGCCAATGGGCTGCTTGATAACAATCGTCCGTCGATTTGAGACAGATGGGATGCCCACAGAACCTCGAACGCGCTCTGCCTCTCCCGCAAACCACCAAGCGAACCCTAGTGCATAGTCGACCTCACCACGAGCTTCGACGAGTGGCTTGCCCGTCTCGTACGTGACCAGCTTGGCGATGTCTTCCTTTGCGTTGGTAATCAACCTGTGCCACTCGAGGAGCATTTTCGCCCGCTCTCGAGGATTGACATGGCGGTACTTCAGAAAAGCCGCTTGCGAAGTCGTGACGAACCCATCCACATCCCGTGCTGAGTTGTTTGGACAGGAGGCGAAGACCTTGCCGCTGCCGGGATCTGAGTGTTGGAATTGAGTCAGTGGATGTGCCCCTTCACCACCACAAGGCTAGGCAATCATTCTCACCTTCAACATTGAATGTTTCATGTGACGTCGAAGTAACCCATTCTCCATTAAGCAGCGATCGCTCGTGAAGGAGGGACCTATCGTCCAGCTGGAGATTAATTAGCAGTTGTGTCGGTGAAATCCCCGTTACCCTACACCTTGCGCCTACCTGGAACGGGAGCTGCTTGGGCATGATGGAAAGAGCAGTGTTACTATACCGAGCTTTCGATAAAGGACAGATAATTCATGGAGCTTGAGCAACTTTTAAGACTTGCTTCTGTCTAGGAACAACATAGCGTAGTTTTGTTCATAATTGAGGAGGGTTGCCGTCTTATCCAGGTTGAAACCAAGCCGGAACACGATGCTCAGTTGATTACGTCGGCGGGAATCCAAACGCTCGGTCATCAATCCTAGCATTGAATCTAAACCCGGAGTCTAGGTTAAACTTGTCGATGCACGCTCGTTACGTAAAGAGACTCATCAGAAAGCGATAAATCAGTTGTCAGGCGCACCCTACAACTGACATCTCAATCAACGATCTAGGGACTGGAGTGGTGAGCATGTCGATTCAAGAGGCTGGACTCGATGCTGTACGGGCGGAAAATTGTGCTCGCTCGGTTGTGCCGTCCCATTGCCCGCCCTTTACGCTAAACGCGCTGCGCGGCGGTGAGACACTCCACTGAAGCCTCTTGGCTCGGCATGCCTTTAGAGGTGCGATTAGCGGTCGAGCCATGCCTTTGGGGGGAAGAGGGGTTGGCGGGATTGCGAGGCCTATATCCCCCAAAGGTAAGGCTCTGGCGACGTTTCCGCTCGCTATCTTCGGGCGGCTGACGGTTCGCCTTTGGAGGAAATTCGCCGCCGGTTGCGCACCCTATCGATGGAGTCGCGACGATTCTCCATGTCAAGGGCGCTCCATGATCCATTCACTCGCATGAGGCCGGTTTCGGTCTGCGGTCTTGGCCGAGGTGTTACTTGTCGCTCGACGATTGATTCCTCTCCACCATTCATCTCAATGACTGTTAACCTATCTTCATACCCAGTATATATCGATAATCTCAGCTTGTGTACTCTGCTCCTATTGCGCAACACCGGCACTCATCTACTTCCCACTCAACTAGTCAAGCTCGCGACGCAGTTCCCCTCCTTCCATAGATCTTCCAGTCGACCAGGTTGACACAAGCCGTAGCGATGGCTGCTGCACCACACCATCCTTTCGACCCTCTCACGCCCGATGAGATATCGAGAGTACGCTGAGTCCAGCCGAAAAGACCACCGCAAAAGTTGACTGACCACTTTACCTGCAGGCCTCGAAGGTCGTTCGCCCGCACTTTGGCGGGCAAGATCCTAACTTCCGGGTGGTCACACTGCTTGAGCCGGCTAAGAAGCAGATGATCCCTTACCTTGAGAAGGAACAGAAGAAGCAACCACTGGGTCATGTACCAACGCGATACGCTAGAGTCGAGGTCGCCGTTCCGGGTGCCAAGTCTGGGAATGAGCTCTTCGAGCTTGTCGTCGATCTCGACAAGGACAAGGTGGCCCGGAAACAGCACATGAAGGGGAAGCATTCGTACATTGACGCCGACTACATGAAGGCAGTCGAAAATGCCTGTCTCGCAAACGAAGAAGTGCAGGCGGAGATTCGCACCCTTGAACTGCCAGCTAACAGCATGGTGGTCGTCGAGCCATGGGCTTACGCCACCGATGGCATGAATGATATGACCGAACGAGTAACGATGGTACGTCTGCCATGATCGTCTAATGAGTTTTATGCAGACAACTGACCGTATACAGTGCTGGTTCTATCTCCGGTTACTGGAGAGTTCAGATGCAAATTACTACGCCTATCCCTTGGATGTTTGCGCTGAGGTTTCGGAAGCACTTCAAGTCACAAAAGTCTATCGTCTACCCACAAAGCCTCATGAAAGAATAAACCATGAAAAGAAGCCTTTTGATCGTCGGAGGATTCATTCCACTGCGGCAAGCGAATACCATCCCGATCTAAGGCCAGCACCCAGAGCGACAACCAAGCCATACCAAGTCGTCCAGCCTGAAGGCCCTTCTTTCAAGATCCAGGGCAACCATCTTAGTTGGGAGAAATGGACCTTCCGTGTTGGGTTCAATTATCGAGAGGGCCTGACCTTGCATGACGTTCGTTACGATGGACGAAGCCTGTTCTACCGACTCTCCCTAGGCGAGATGTTCGTGCCCTACGGTGATCCGCGCGCTCCGTATCCTCGAAAGGCCGCGTTTGACCTCGGGAATGACGGTGCGGGCATTAACGCCAACAACTTGCAGCTTGGTTGCGACTGCTTGGGAACTATCAAGTACTTTGATGCCTACCACAACACCCCCTCGGGTGAGCCATTGAAGCTGCCCAACGTTGTATGCTGTCATGAGCAAGACGATGGAATCCTATGGAAGCACACTAATTTCCGCACCCAGAACCCTGTCGTTACTCGTTCTCGCATTCTTGTGCTACAGACAATAATCACCGTCAGCAACTACGAGTACATTTTCGCCTGGCACTTCGGTCAGGATGCTTCTATCTCTTACGAGGTCCGCGCCACCGGGATTCTCTCCACAGTCCCATCCGACATTGATGTTAAGGAGAGGATTCCCTACGGAACGGTCGTGGCGCCAGGAGTCCTTGCACCTTACCATCAACATCTCTTCAGTCTACGAATCGACCCAGCGATTGACGGACACGCCAATTCCCTTGTCGTCGAGGAGTCCAAGCCGCTTCCCATGGATGATCCTCTTGTCCACAATCCCTTCGGCGTGGGTTACGTCACAGAAAGCCATATAGTTGAGGAGGAGGGCGGCTTCGACCTTGACTTCACAAAGAACCGAACCTTCAAGTTCGTCAACGAGAACAAGACGAACCCAATCACAGGAACCCCAGTCGGGTTCAAGCTTATGCCCTTCTACAGCCAAAAGCTACTGTCACATCCCGAGTCATTCCATGCCAAACGGTCTGAGTTTGGCGAGCATGCTGTATGGGTAACCCGGCACGAAGACCACGACCACTTCCCAGCTGGAAAGTACACCATGCAGTCTTCTGGTGGCGACGGATTGGCTTCTGCTATTGAGAAACGCAGAAAGACGGGCACAGCGCAATCCATTCGAAACCAGGATCTTGTTATCTGGCACACGTTCGGGTCGACACATAACCCTCGCATTGAGGACTGGCCGGTCATGCCCAATGAGAAGCTGATGGTGGGCTTGAAGCCAGTCAATTTCTTCACAGGAAACCCTGCGTTGGACGTCGCCGTTTCGACGCAAGACAAGAACAAGAGTGTGCTGTACAATGAAGAGGAGTCAAAGAACTCATCCTGCTGTTCATCGAGGCTGTAAAAGTAAATTAAAAGAGAAGAGTCGTCGAATGCAGTTGTGGAACTTATCGACGTCGAGCTTGCGTACTGTTCGTCTTATCAGAAACCCACTGCAGCTCCCCAGTCCCATCTCATTTATTCAAAACTTATTAATTATGTGATGCCAGAGATCAATCCAGTTACAACTCAGCACAAAATTCTCTAATTGCTGAAGGACTTGTGTCCAAGATGAGCATTAGGCAAACACTACAGACTTTGGTCGACGATGGACCGTCGACGCTGCAGCTGCTTTACTTTCACTTGTTGGGGAGACGACCCGCTGAAGGTCATACAATCAGTTAAAATACGGATCTGAGGATGCTCTCTGAATGATCAGATTTTATTGATGGAGAGAAACCAGTCGTGTATTCTCTGCGGCCTTAGGGTCTCCACGAAGAGCAGCCAGCAACCCGCAAACCACAACCATATACGTGAAGCGTTTGCCCTCGCACAAGTCACGACAGGAGCAAGCCATTGAACAACCTGTAGAGATTGTGTATGAGGACAGAGACCATGCGCTAAGTTTATCTTCTGATCTTCGATCGCTGAGGGTTCACATATGCCACAAGTCTAAGCTCCCCTTCGGCCTGTACAGAGACGCCAATGTAGGTATGAATTCCTGTCCCGGTTTCCAGAGCTTTATGGTCACTGACGCTATTAGTTAAGTAGAGCACTCCTTCTTCAGGAGCACTTACAATGTTTGATCGATGCACCTACGGTAGAACTTGGCGCTCATGGCGGCAACGGCGAGATTCCGTCTTTTGGCGACTTCCTCGTTGATATACACACTCAGTGCTTCGCTGATATAGGCATCGTTTTGAGCGTAATGTCGGACTGGTATGTAGACCTTGACAAGAGGCAGTCTCTTGCGGAACCGGAATTCGACGTTATATAGGATACCAGCAGTCCGGTGATCCACGTGAGGCAATGGTATCTCGTCCGCAATCCCGGCAGGATCAAAAAAAGCATCCCAGAGCTTTCTCAACCTCAGAAGCCCCTTATCGAGATTGGGTTCGGCCACTAATCCTCCCAACGACATGTTCTCTCGTACGGAAGCAAAGTCCGTCCGTCTGTTCCGGAAATAGATCTTGAGCCGAGATCTCTCCAAAGGCTCAAAGTCAAGCGCGAGCATATCCATCTCATGGCCAATGCTTGAATCCCGAGCAGCGAAATCCGTGTAGATACCCAGGGAGGGGAAGTCCCTTGGGGAATAGCCCGGCGCGGAAGCAACCGCCTCGAGTGTGACTTGGAGGTTCGTGCGGCCTGTCGCATGGGCGGCTGCACCCGGGAAGAAGTATGCTTTCACAGATGCACCTTTTTCGATGAGGTCGAAAGCCCAAAAGGTGGTAGAATTATGACCTTCGGAGTTGGCTTTGCTAGTGTTCTTCACCAAGCACTCCTGGAAATGGTCGAACCATGTAGTATCTGTTGCTGGAAACTTCTCGACAAGGCATTGTTTGAACCTTTGAGAAGCTCCTGTATTATTTGGATTGTGTACAGTTCCGGCATCTGCCGCAATTGGCTCGAAGGAATATCTGATCGTTGGCTGTTGACATCCTGTATGGAAATCCCAGCTCACTTCCACAGGTGTGTGATCATCCGTCATGAAGCTGCGCCATACTGGCGCACCAGGAGGTAATAATGGACCCAGATGTGGTACTACCAACAATGAAAGATTGCGAAGCAATTGGTCTTGGTGGTCTTGACTGTACCCGGCATTTTGCAACAGATTCATCAGTACGAAGCCTAGCCTACCGTACCAGTTTTTCTGATGTCAATCGAGCAAACAAGGGCTCTTTTCTATCTCATCCCATGCAGCGGACCTCCGGATATAAGGTCGAAAGGGGGCCATAGTAGGTCTCAAAGATGGGCCGAGGTTGATCTTAGAGAGTGTACAATAAGCGACCTGCCAGCTGAGCCTTGGCTCGAGAAGCACTGCGTGTCTTTATACCTTTATCATCATAGATCAAAGTCTTGACCCATGACTCTAGGTTCTGGAATAGGGCACAGGTACTTCTAACGGAATCCATGCTCTTGTTTCGTGACGGCTTGACCGGGTGCGTTGTTCTATCCGTCTGACTGGGGATTGAAGAGCGCTAGTCGCGAATCTCTATAGCAATGGGCAGTAGAGGATGCGAATGTAGGCGAAACTATTGGCCCTTCTGATGTGGGAAGGCTCAGCATAGCCCGAAGAACATCATTCAGAAAAGGCAATAATGGGCGCTCACAGAGTAACACAACATGTTGATTCGACTGCGACTGCAATGCTTTGTCGGCAGATCCATGCGCCTTCATCCATGTTTCATGCGTCAAGAAATGTGGAACGACTTTCAAAACTCGATTAGCTCTAGACAAATAGCCTTGGAGGATCCTGCGAAGTCGTGGTCCCCGAGCGGCACGTTGAGCCCAATGCGGAATTAGCCATGTAACAGTCAAATTGGGGAGGTCAGCCCAGCGCGGCGACGGACTACATTAGTCCAGCCGTTGAGGACGGACTGTCTTTCGCAGCTGCAAGTAAGATCTTGGAAGGTTCTTCGCGAGATCTATTTACCAGCTGAGACTGTCTAGAGCACTGGCATAAACACTATGTATAAAGGCCACGAGGCTATGGCGAGGCTGCTGATTGAGAGCGGCGCCAATTTTGAGGCAAAGAACGATAGGGGCGCCACACCGCTCTTTTTAGCTGCGGGTAGTGGGCACGAGGCCATGGCGAGGCTGCTGATCGAGAAAGGCGCTGATCTCGAGGCAAAGGGCGAAAATGGCGTTACACCGCTACGAAGCGCTGTGAAAAATGGGCATAAGGCTGTGGCTAAGCTCCTTGTTGAAAAAGGTGCTAGAAAAGGATTACGGGACCGCCTCTTTATGTAATAGGAAAATCTGATATTTCTTTGCCCGGATACACCCCTGACGAGCAAGAAATCCTTGGTTGAAAAATTGGTTGAAAAATTGATATGGAGTTGGCCTTGGTTCCTCGGCAGAGATTGGACATGTCACTAACTCAAAGCCCGAAATAGATCGCTACAAGTTAGTCCAATTCCAGCCGAACGATAAAAAATGCTCGCCTGAAGACTAACAAGACGTAGGCCAAAAACTTGGCGATGTTGCGTGCGAGAGGCCTTTTTTCTAGGGCGGACTGGATTATTGATATTAGGTGGAACAAAGTACCGATACGGCCAAGGAGTTGACTGCGGTGGTGAGGAAAGTAATAGTCAAAATTCGGCGAACTAGGATAGATGTCCTGGGCACCTTAACTAACACTTCCTGATAGTCTTATTCTACTATTCGTCCGTGAGAAGCTATATATTAATCTTAACTAAGCACAACAAAAAGCTAAGGCAAAGTTCTCGCAAGAGTATCGCATTCGGAGACGAGGCAGAAGGGAGAGCGGCCTATGGTCCCTCCCCCTTCCTCCTCCCCTTCCTTTTCTTCGGACGAAGGATTCGATGCTGGCCCTTGCAGCTACAATCTAATGCACCATGCTAACCAACAGCCTAGGCCAGAGGTCGTCATAGCTTCTTCTCAGAGCATTGCATTGGTCGGCTGTCGAGGGTTCGAGGTCCTAACGAGGCCAGTGGACTCGCTCGTCACGTCCACCATCAATCCGCCATTTCCCCATCGTGAGAGCGATTGTCGAAACACTCCGTGGTTAGCTGAAGACGCGGCCTCGACATGGCAAGGCATCCTCGTCCCTATTGTCTGCCGCGGTTGCGCCGTCATCGTTAGCCTTGTCGATGTCGGCCGTGGCACCTTCGTTCTCCACGCTCTCGTCGGGCGTCGCTTCAACAGTAGGGGTGCTATTATCCTCATTGTCAGCCGCACTCCCGCACCCGGGCGCGGGATCGTAGTTGGCGCCCTCGTCCTCGATGTTAATAGCCACATCATCAAAGCGCCCCCAGCCTTGGTTATAACACCCTTGTCAGAGGTGACCTCATTAGGAGCGGCGCCTTCGTTCTCATTAATGACCTCGACGCCAGTAACACCTCGTCGTCCATGGCACAGTCTATGCCAGCACCATCGTAGAGAGTGTGGTTCTCGAAGTTTTCGTGCCAGTTGGCGGATCGATACCGGCGGAATAAGATCTAAATGAACTAGGTTAGTTCAAATATTAGTCTTGCCGTGTCCACCGCATCTCAAAGACGAGGACCGTGTTCTTATGTCAAAGCCGTGTACTCGTTCTAGAGAGCCAGTAGAATGACCAAAGTTAATGACCGGGTTAAACCATGCCGCGCTACTTGGTTCGCCGCCGTACCTTTCACCTCATATTCATGCCTGGATATTTTTGCGAGGTGTTTACAATAGTAATGTTTAGCTAGACAAAAGCGTAGTCATGCGAGAGAACCGTACGCAACTTAGGTTGTGCGATCTAGGTCTTCTCTGGGATTCACCACGCATAGCGTATATAGATAGCAATTAAATAACTGTCTCTCGAAACCGTTCGAAATATTTAAGCGTGCGCTGAGAGCTTTCTAAGACCTTCCTATTCATATCGATCTCTCTTTTTTTTTAAGAAGCCTTATGTAGCCGTAGCGTTATAGAAAGCGGGCAATATGATCAAATTTAGTGCGTGGTGCTCGTGGCTGCGCAGTACGTGGCCACGCCTTACTTTATGTCTTGACTGGTCCTTTCTAACAGACGGATATAAGCCTCGCCATAAATATCAATACCTTGAGTCTTTTATCGCCTCTCCACTAAGAATCTCTTCCTACACGCCCGGCTACTCCACCACACAGAAAAGGCCCCATTCCAGCATCTCGGCCAATCAATCACCTTTGTTCATCTGACCCCTGCATTCTACCACGTCAGGAACGGGCTCCGTTTCTAAGTTTCATGAGCTAGCCGCTAACAGTTTCCAGTCCCACAAGCCTCTGAAGCTTGCCGCAATGTGCGGTCACGTGCCACATATGCCAACCTAGCCGCGACGCGCGACGCGCGACGGGCCAAGGGCCCTGACTTCCAAATTGTTCTGTCACGCGTTATTGCCTTACAACTCTAAATTCAGCATCTAGAGTTTAAGACTAAGAATACTACGAGTCCGTAGGGGTGGAGGGTGGGGTTAGTAAAAAATATCATCCAAACGGTTCGAATGACCGTTTTAAACTAAATTAATTCTCAGAATAGGCGCTAATAATAGGCGTGGGGTGTGTGGGGAGAGCTAAATATACTAGGGCGATAGCATCCAATCTTAAGAGGTCGCAGGATCCGAGCTCGGCAGTATTAACCTCCAATAATGGAAGGCATTGCACGGAAGGGAAGAACTAGACGGGATCACGTATTTTCCACTGGGTATGGTCGTATATGACAGTAATGACTATTATTGATTACTATACCCTGCTGCATGGCTCACGACAAGAAGACAAGAGGCATGGTGTGCCTAAAACACACAACTGCCGGTATTTGATTGAAAAATGTAAAGGATACCACCCACCGAGCGCAACGTTCGCGTTGTGTTGGATCGTTGTGATAGTCTGTTTGGTTATTTTGTTGGCAGTCTTAAGCACGTCCCGGATATCGCAAATGGCTTTACTGGTATTCTGGGCGGCTGTCTTTGTTTCTTGCTGCGCGCTGCGGATTGCTCCGCTCCCGCCCGACGGAGGCCCTATAAGTGTAGGCAATCTATGGGAGGTGAGCCTGAGTGAGCCTTGAGAAGACTCGCAATCGATGCATGCACTCGACTCGACCACAGTAGGAGGCGCAAGGAAGGGAATCAATTCCTTCATGGTAATTTTGAATTACAAGCTCGCGATTCGAGAAAGCCCCCGTCTAGCTAATGAGAACACAGGAGCTAAATGAATTCTTTCTCAAACGTGCTGCTAGGATGCTTCTCATCCCCTTTGTCATATTGCTGAGCTGCAATAGCATTATCGGCCTCAAAGTACTTCTCTGGTCGCTGCAACTGAGTGGCTGTCTTGTTGCGGAAGACGAAGATACTTGGGTGATCGGCAAAGAATCGGTCGATGTCTTCCAAGGATCGATTGGCGGTCTCGGGATAAAACAGAAAGGTGATAGGAACGAATGCGGCGCAGATGACTGCCCAGATGATCCAGAAACGATAGCCAAGATTGGCGATACCGGGAGGGGTTATCTGTGCCACCATATAGTTCATGATCCTTCGCTGCGTTAGTCTAGCTTCGTTGTGTGTGTTGATGTAAACGTACCAGTTAGATGCCATGGCCAGGGAAGCTCCCTTTGCTCTGAACGCGAGCGCGTTGACTTCGGTGGGATAAAGCCAGGGTACGGCCAGGACACCCATGCCAAAGGCTGCGAAAAAGGCAAAGAAACCAAAGATTGCCGCACAGCCCCACTGGAATCTATTTCCCTTTTCCATCTCGATCTGCGAGGCCGCAACGGAGATAATCGTCCAGCAAGCCGCGCATGCTGCAGCCGAAGTCATCATGACGCGGCGGCGCCCGTAGCGCTCAATGACAAAGTAGGCCAGGAATGAGAAGATAAGGTAGTCGATCGAGCCCGCGGCTGCCAGGATGCGTGCCATAAACTCGCTGAAGCCCAAGGCATTGATGAATACATAGGTCATGTAGTAGCTGGTGACGTTGATACCGGAAATCTGACTCGTTAGCAAGGTCATCCTTGGCCAAAGGGCTGGCCGCATGAACATACCTGGTTCATACATTGCATCCATGCTCCTAGAATCATGCGTCGTACCACGCCCGAGGGGCCCCTGCCAGTAATCAATTGCCACCATGTGTATTCATCACCACGCTCCTTGTCCATGACGTCTTTGATGATGGCGTACTGGGTTCGTACAGAAGGGCTGTCAACTGTTGCTCCATTGCCCTCGAGAGCAGCTAGAATCTCCAGGGCCTCTTCGTGACGTTCCTTTCGGATAAGGAGACGTGGCGAGTCGGGAAGGAATGGGCACATGAAACAAACGAGGGCAGAGAAAACTTGCCGATAGTTAGCGAGATTTGTGGCGGCTTCCGTTGGTTTCTCACTTACAGATCTGGAATGCCAGAGGGAATCTCCAGCTGACACTACCCGGGGCAAAGGAAAAGCCGAGGGTCAGCCAGTTGGATATGGAGAAGCCCAAAATGCAGTTTGCCATTTGGATGATGATCAGCTTTCCGCGGCTGCTTACTTTGGCGGTTTCTGACTGCCAGACACCGGCCGTTGAAGTGTTGATGCCGGTGCCGATTCCTGAACACCGTTAGCGCGGCGCAATGCAGTCAACATTGGTGAGCTGCTTACCTGCGACGACTCTTCCAACATACATTTGTGCCGGCCCGTAGACGGTAGCCTGAATGATGGCACCGAGCGCAATGACGAGGCTTCCGACGATCAGAGACTTGGGTCTTCCAAGTTTGTCACCGGTATATAGTGTTGAGAGGGCGCCGCCAAAGCAGCCAAGATTGTAGACTGAAGTCATGGTGCCTTGATCCGCAACAGATGGATTTCCTACTGTCCTGATGAAGTCCTCGGACACGAGAATATTTCCAAAGACGCCCTGAAGATACATGTCAGGATCTCGCCAAAACCAAAAAGAAGCAGCTGTGACGTACCTGATCATAACCGTAGAAAATCAAGACAGTGGAAGCAGCGAGGCTGATCCAGAGCGTGAGCTTGTCGCCAGAGCCGCCGAGGTACTTTCTCGCCATGATTTTGTTCACTGTATTGGTGACGTGGAATTGGGCGATCTTTGATGGAGTGGCCTAGCTGAGAAAGCTAATAATGTGATGCCTCGAACTTGGGTGTCTGTCGGACTTTTTGTGGTTGAGCGGATGAAGAGTAGATCAAGATGGCGAGCACCTGGCGTATTTATTAAGAACGATCTCGGGATGATGGAATGAACGTGTGTTTGCATTGGTTGCCCGAATCGCCCTTCCCCGCGGATGCTCCCCACAGATGGCGCCCCGGACAGGCTTCGAAAAGCCGGGGTAAAGTGGCCCACAAAGACTATTTGGCTCCTGATCGGCGGGGTCTAACCATTTCTAGAAAACTACGCGGCCCCGCCCCCTTGGGTACAGCCAGGTTATAGAACGAGCTCGTCAAGTCGCGCCTATTTATCCCATTCCGGAAAGAGTCACGTTCTTAGCTCTACTAGCTGGGAATTCTCCAAGTTCCATTAGCCTGGAAGCCGCATTATTCTCCGCGGCATTGCTTATCTTTCCGAAATTGGAAAACAATGCGCCTGGTGATCGTGCTTGTTTTGTAGTGAGACTGGAAGCCATCTCACGGTTTCCATTATGTCTGAACTCATGGGACATGCGCGGGGCTGAGATCGGCCGAACTCGATAGTTGAAAAACCTCCTCGAAGTACGTCTCAAGAACTAGCATCGTATATCTGTCTTTGGTACAACTGATGCAGCAGCAAACATCACTTCTCAAGTTCGTTGACTACTCGGATCACAAAACCTTCCAATCATCATGAGATCTCCAATCCCAGCAAACGTCGACACAGACGTCGCGATCATCGGGGGAGGCATGTCGGGAATCGGCCTTGCGGTACAGCTCCAGAGGAAGTATCCTGGTGTTACGTTCAAGATCTTCGAAAAGCTCAACGACATTGGTGGCACATGGGCCATTAACACCTACCCTGGATGTGGAGTTGATGTGAGTAGAATGAACTCCTTGCTCTCGTAGGGTTGCTGACCTTGACAGGTACCATCGCATTTCTACTCATACTCATTTGCGCTGAACCCGGACTGGTCCCAGAAGTTTGTCATGCAGCCCGAGCTTCTGCAGTACTTTCACGACGTAGCACGCAAGTGGAATTTGGCACCGCGCACACATCTGCAGCACACTGTTGAAAAGGCAGCATGGGACTCCCAAACCTCGACTTGGGTTATCGATGTTTATGATCAGACCCAGAAGAGTCGATTTCAGGTGCGCTCTCGAGCCCTTGTTTCTGCTGTTGGTGCCTTGAGCCTACCCAAGGAATGTGACATCCCAGGCCACGAGGAGTTTACCGGCAAGATTTTTCACTCGGCGCGCTGGGACCACTCATTCGACCATGCTGGAAAGGAAGTCCTCGTATTGGGTAAGTCATCAGAGCATTGACCCCAGCGCGCGCTGTTTCTGACAAATGGCTAGGAAATGGATGCAGTGCGACACAATTCGTACCAGTGGTCAGTGAAAAGGCAAAGAAAGTCGTGCAGGTGGCTCGACAGCCACACTGGCTTCTGGAAAGGCCTAATCCAAAGTACTCCTCAGCGTTCAAGGCTGTCATGCGCTATGTTCCGGGGGCCATGAAGATGCTGCGGGCCAAGATCTACGCAGACCTTGAGGCAGAGTGGCTCATGTTTGATAACAAAACTGGCATCGCCGCTCGAGAAAGGCTGTCGAAGGATTCGAAGGCATACATCAGAAAAGCTGCACCGCCACAATACGTTGACGCTCTGATTCCCAAGTTCGAGGTTGGCTGCAAGCGAAGAGTCTTTGACACGGGCTTCCTCGCATGTTTGCACCAGGACAATGTGGAATTAGTCCACGACGATGCGGTCGAGAGATTGACCAAGGATTCGGCCATCTTCAGGTCGGGCCGAGAAATCCACATTGACGCCGTTGTCCTGGCCACTGGCTTCCAAACGACGACCTTGTTGAGCAACCTGAACATTATAGGACGCGATGGCATCTCCATCCATGACCATGTATGTCACATTATTCCGAGTCAAGACCTTGACTTATCTGACGAATCCACAGTGGCAAGTTCAGAACGAGGGTCTCCCACAAGCTTACTATGGCACCTGTGTCGCGGGTTTCCCCAATTTCTTCATCATGATGGGACCCAACACAGTCAATGGCCATCTCTCGGTCATTTTCTCAAGCGAATGCCAGATCAACTTTGCCTTGAACATGCTACATCCGATCCTCAAGAACTCCCAGCGTGGAGGCGCTCGACAAGTCTCGGCTGTTGAGGTTACTCAATCCGCAGAAAATGAGGAGAATCGCTGGATTCAGGACAGAGCCAGGAATCTGGTCTGGTCATCGGGGTGTACAAACTGGTACGTCGAGCCCAAGTCTGGAAAGAATCTCATGGTGTACCCGGAGTGGCAATGGCACTTTTGGCTTCGCAGCTTTGTGGTGGACTACTCCAAGTTTGTCTATACCAGTGTCGATGGAAAGGCTGTCCGGCTGCGCAACTTCTGGACGACTTGTGTGACTGGGCTTTTGGTTTTCCTCGCGGCAGTTCATCTTCTCTAGACTTGTTTTGACCGAATACATGGTGTCAAAATGGTCTTGGCCCAGATTTAAAAAAGTCAACGTAGCAAAGCTTTTGAAAAGAAATAGAGCATATCCTGTGAGCCTGGTAATTTCTCTCTGTGATACATTCCGCTTCGATACCACATCTTCATTGAGAATCAAGACGTGGCTGGTTTGACGTGACGTTGAGATACGGTACAAACACCACTTTCTGGTGTACAAGTAATTTTGACTCATAGCTACTTAATATCAGGGTAACAAAGGATATTTCGGAACAAAGTAGGCTAGAAGAGATCACTAGAAAGCACGTCTTCTCAGCCAGACATTTCAATTCGTTGTCTCATGTGCTATGGCGACGAGATGGCCTCTGCCAAGCCTTGCAAAAGCGTGGCTACTGCCCACGCCCCGGGATCAGGCACCTTTCCAAGCCAAACATTTTCCGTACCAACGTATACCGACCTCCCAAAGCTAGGCCTCAAATGCTTGCTCTGATCTGCACCGGCAAAAGCTGCCGCTGATGCTTGTCTGACATCTAGTGTGGTAGCCAAGGTCTCGACAAAGGGCACCAGCGCATCCATCAGTGTTCGGTCACCAGGTCGCGCCGGCGTGTATCTCTTCAGAGTCTGCAATGCAGCGGACACAGCTGAAGACCACACAGCTGCGTCAGCCTCTTTTTTGCGGCCATCGTCTTGTTGGCGAAGGCCCTGAACAAGACCATTGAAAAAGATGGTGAACAGAGCACCCGAAGTACCATCCATTGCAACTTCGATGATTGTCTTTATATCACTGACCAATGCCAATGCGTCCAGTGGTTGAGAGGAAAAGACCAGGCCATCGAGAACCGCTTCAGCTCCACGCTTCATGCCAATGCCGCAGTCGCCGTCGCCAACAATGGTGTCGTACCGAGTGACTTGTGGCTCCGCGGCAATTAGTCTTTGGAGGGCTTGTCCTATGACGCGCGGAGTGACGCTCGGATCTAGGCGCAGTTGACTCGAAAGTTTCGAGGTAGTCGATGCCCGCTCCCGAGCGACAGTTGTCGTGTGATGTGGCGATCGCACCGAAGGTGGTAGCGGAGAACCCCATCCCAAAGCCTCAGCGGGAAAGTCTAGCAGATCGAGCATGGACTTGCCCTCGCCAAGTCCAGTGTTGCCAAGCTTCAGCACTGTGATGCTGAATCCAGGCCCGTTGAGGGAGGTAAGAAAAGGCGCTGCGAAGACTCTGACTGGGTGAAGTCCGTAATGGCTAGCAAGCTGCCCAACAACTTCGGTCGTGATGGCGCCGAATTCCAGTGCGGACACACCACCGAGGTTGTTGATGAGCAAGACGACTTCATCGCTGGCCTGGAAAGAGCAATAGCTTCTATCGGCATCATTGGGATCCAAAAGCTGTTGAAGCATTGACTTGACCAGCTCAGGCAGGGTTTTGGTGGCACGGACCGAACCAGGTTCATTGTGGATGCCCATTCCGATCTCGACCTCGTCCACCGCAGGTGCATCGGAAGAGGATGGCAAGCGGCCGGGGACGTGCACGTGGTCGAGAGATGCGCCGACGGTGACAGTATTGCGTGCGACATGTTGTGCGAGCTGATGAACTTGGGCCAGAGAGCCGCCCAACTCGGCCAGCGCACCGCAGAGCTTGATCACGAGCACCGTCCCGGCAAGCCCACGACGGCCGACCTTGCCGCTTTTGGCTCGGCCGACACCGACGTCGTCCCCAACGGCGAAGAGCTCAGTCTGAACATTCGTGGCTCGTGCGTCTTCCACCGCCATGCCAAAGTTGAGGACGTCACCGGTGTAGTTCATGATGACCACAAAGACGCCCTTATTGGTAGGGACACATTTGAATCCTTGCCGGACCTGCTCAGCGGAGGGAGATGCGAAAATGGTACCAGCCACAGCGGCAGTCAGCAGGCCTTTGCCTACGTAGCCGGCAAACCCAGGTTCATGGCCGCTGCCGCCACCGGAGATGATCGATACCTTGCCGTGATGCGCGTCGCTGACCTTGCGATGGACGATCTTGTGTTCTGGTTGGAATGAGACGGAAGGATTGATCAAGGTGTTTGATTGAAGGGAAGCCAGGACCAATTTGGTCGGGTCATTGTCAAAGTGTCTGGAACTCATTGTCGATTCTTGGAAGCAAAGGGTGCTTTGGTACGATGCCGGTGATAGCAAACAGTGAGGCAGCGAGCGGCGTCTCGAAAAGATGTTAAATACTACTGCACTCAACTACCATCAACCACCCTTACTACACTACGTCTCATCAAGGTTGGCTGGATGAACGGCGTGCGTGCTGCGTAGGGCCCAGGGCGATGTACACCTGATGCATCCAAGGTTTCTCGCGGCCTAGCAGATTGAACAGCGCCGCTTGCCCGAAGCTTGCGCGCATCAATACATTGCATTGCGTAAATGAAGCTATACTTGAGCGTCAATTCGTGCCTCGAGGCGGTTTCGCTGCGCTCTATTTTGCCGGATTTGGAAACATTGCGCGAGCCGGCTCCCGCAGTCCCGACTCCCACCTACCTCACAATCCGGAGACATTTCTCCAGAGGGGGTCGTGTGGCTCCTCCCGCGACTCTATAGATGTTTTCGTGATCAATGATCTTCTTCGGCTCCGCCCCGGAATTAAAAGGGACGTAACGACACAAGTCACCCATCCCACGGGTTATTTACATCTCGTTATACCCACGTTCATCCACCCCACATCAGCCTTCAATCTCAGACCAACATCAAACCATGGCGCTGTCTGTCGCAGGCAAAACAGCTGTCGTCACTGGAGCTGGGTCCGGCATCTGTTATTCCTTCGCCAAATTGCTCCTTCAGCAGAAGTGTAATGTCGTCCTGTCCGATCTTGCGCTGAGACCGGAGGCGGAGAGCCTTGTCAAAGATTTCTCCTCGGAATCAACCAGAGCTGTCTTTCAGCAGACTGATGTCACAAAGTGGGATCAGCTTGATCGTGCTTTTGAAGTGGCGAAGCGAGAGTTTGGCGGGTTTGATATTGTCTGTCCTGGAGCTGGCGTTTACGAACCGGTGAGCAGTCCTATTCTCAACCACCATTGTATTTTTACTCGTGCATTCAGCTGATATCGTTACCGTTCTAGCGGTTTTCTAGTTTTTGGCAACCCCCTGGATCACCACTGTCCAAGGACTCTCCGGACGGCAGTCGCTATGCCAGTCTAGATATCAACCTGGTACACCCCATCTACGCCACACAACAAGCCATCGCCCACTTCCTCCAGGCCTCCAAGCCAGGCGCAGTCGTCCATGTCTCTTCCATCGCTGCTCAGAGACCGATAATCACCGCACCATTGTACGTGGCGGCCAAGAGCGGCATCTCCAACTTGATCCGCTCTCTGGCCAATCTGGAGAACCCCGACCGACCCGGGCTGCCCAGCATTCGAGTCAGCGGAGTCGCACCTGGTGTCATCCGAACACCTCTGTGGACTGAGCATCCCGACAAGCTGCGCTGGATCGACCAGGCCAAAGATGAGTGGGTGGAGCCAGAGGAGGTAGCGCAGGCGATGCTGGATCTGATTCAGGAGGAGGACTATGCAGGCGGCACAGTCTTGGAAGTTGGTAAAGATCATGTGCGGCGGGTGCAAGTGCTCAACGACCCAGGCCCTCAGGGCCCAGGACACAGTGTAAGCGACGCAGGGAAAGGGGAAAAGGAGGTCTGGGACAGTCTTGCATCTCGCACAACTTAAGTTAAGGAAGACAATTTCTCTTGCGCTAGTCCTGATAGTACTAGTGCCGCGCCCCATCTTTATGATGTGGGGCGCGGCACGAGTAGCGTCTTATTCTTTCGCCCCGCAAAATGCAAGCAACCCCGCAAACCCAAGTCAATATCGTGACCACCTGCGCATCTGTACTTCCTGCAGAAGGCCCCGGGCTCCTGCAACCTTCAGTAGATAGCATCCCGGCCGCAGGTAGTCATTTCGCACATGAGAAGCCTCCACGCAGCGCAATGAGGGCTAAGAGATCAAGGGCAGGATGGTGAGACCGTCATTCCTCAGCGTCTCGCCCCCAGGACTCTAACCAGAGACCAGCTCGCAATGTCGCCGCTTGAGAATCAAGTGTGACGAGCAATATCCAACATGTCGCGAGTGCGTAAAGCGCGATCGCGTATGCAATTTGTCAGAATGTCGATTTCGCAGCTTTGAGCCCCAGAGCGACACAAGATCCGAGTCTGCTATGTCTCGCGTCGCTGATGGCCCTGACGCATTTCTCCACGCAAGGAGTCACAGGTTTAAGACGTCAAAGAATGCTAGCTCACAGTCTGCGTCGCATTCAATCTCACGCAAGCGCAGTGATAGACCAAGCTCTCCCGAAGAATTTGACGTCGGGAGTGAATCAACCACCTCCAACACAGCACATTCTACCACTCCTGGAGGCAGGACTAGGTTACCTTATGGTCCCGAGGACTTGGAGGGCCCCGATGATATAGCGGCGACGTTCAATCATCCCCAGGCTGATGCGCCCAACCGTGTGGATCAGCCATGGACGTGTGGTTCTCCCCTGGGCGGAAGCCCGACCTGGCGGCTGCCTCAACCCAAGGCTTGCTATCCTGTAGACACAGCGGTCACGAACACGAAAAATGGCTCGCCCATTGCAAACGGCCTACAGACTTCAGAAGAGAGGGCCTTCTTTCTCCGCCACTTTTCAAACACACCAGGAAAATGGTCAGTGATCATGCTAGCTGGCCGAACCATGTGACTGATGCTACCAATGCAGGATGGACTTGTTCGATCAAGATTGCTTCTACAGCCGCCAAGTACCCATACTGGCCCTGTCCAGCCCCCTCATCATGTCCTCAGCGTGTGCGTTTGCGGCTCGGCAACTGAGCTTGACCGTGGGACGACAACCGCCACCAAGCCCTTACTGTACTGCTACCCAGAGTCATGCAGATAACATGCAGAAGCGCGACTACGCGTGGTTCGCCGAGGCGTACTACGATGCGGCCATATCGCTGCTCCGACAGCACACTTCAGATGTTGCGGCACAAGGCCAGACGCCAGTCGTCCATACAGGCACAGATGCAGAAGCTCCCATAGTCCCTCGAGCGCGGGTCCACGATGAAGTTGTCGTTGCCGTCACCATCCTAAGCAACTACGAATTTCTAGGCGGCGTTGCTCCAAACTGGTCCTCCCACCTCGACGGCGCCCGCTCTTTCCTGCGTCTGGCAGACGAGGCCGGCTTCTTGGACTTTGCTTATCCATCTCCTACTGCCAACTCTTCTCCAGGTCCCTTGCAGCCACTTCGCCATGCATTTTGGAATTTTGTTCGGCAAGACATGCTCTCCGCCCGTAAGTCCGAGTTTCATCCTTCCTTTCTTGTCCGCACGTCATCTGCTAACGAGGCAATAGTGATACATGGGCGAAGGACACGGGTAGAAATGGACGATATCGCCATGTGGCGACGGATGGGCCTCAACCTGGATCCAAACGGCCGCGTCGCCGACTTGGGTAGTGCATCTCAGCAGCACGACAGCGCTGATAGGGTCGACATGATTTCAAACACTCTGGTTTGGCTACTGGCCAAACTCGTCAACTTTTTGGCAACGTCGAACGACGAGGTCAATACTTGGTCAAATCCAGCTGAATCGGATGCCATGCCAGAGACTGATACATTCCGGAGCAAGTGGTTTGCGCTCAAAGATGAGTTACAGCTGTGGTTCGACACCTTGCCGCCCATATTCCAGCCATGTAGTCGGGTATCCCTGCCGAACAAGAGCTCGAGCAGGAGCTCGAGCTGCCAATGCAGAGCTCAACCACTCATCGACCACGAGACTTGGTATAGTGACAATATGTGCGCATCCTCTATGCAGTCATACTACATGGCGCACATCATCCTGCTGTTGCACAAGCCACGGGCTGTCTCCGTACGGCAGCTGCCCTGGGCGTCGGGGACACAGCCTACTGGCCGGAGCCGATTTCCGGATACCCTCGCGGACTTGAACCAAATGAATGAAATGCTGCAGTATTTTGCCGTTGAGATTTGCGCCATCGCATTGTCGCGTCCTGAAGAAGCGGCGCGCGTTCATATGCTCCAACCGCTTTATTTGGCTGGCCGATGCCTCACCGGCATCATGGATCGCGGTATGGTGGTGCAGCTGATCGACAGTATCGAGGACGAGCTCGGATGGCATGCTAAATATCGAGTTGACGCGCTTCTCGAGGAGTGGGACTTGACCAGAGAGGCATTGGTGTGCTGCCATGGGACTGCTTGAATCAAGGACACGGAAACCTGGGAAGAAAGTCTAGGAGAGAGGGTACGTACTGTTCAGGATCTCATCCATTTGATGCAAACCCACGCAGCATCTGCAATCTTTGCCAGATGCAATTTAGCAATCAAATTCCATTTCTTGACCAGTCCCTTGGATATATGTAGGTAAATTCTCACGCATACTTTAGGAACAAAAGTGCCTGGCACCTACCACGCGTTGATCTTCAGAAGCTTCTCCACGGTCTACACACCCGAGTCTGACGAGTCGTTCCCCCGAGTAGTTGAGAACTTTTACTTCTTAGCTAAACAATCTATCCTCAGCGAGCCAGCTCCTTCGAGAGATCATCTCGAGTATCCATCAAACCTCGCTCCTAACGTGGCCGTGGTGAAAAGTTTCCACTGCGATGTTGTCAAAGATGCTTCCGCTCTTGATGGTGCAGGGCCGGATAAAGTGGGCGAGCTATTCGACGACTGGATCGAGAAGCATCATCACGATAAGGGATGGCGGGAAGTTGTACCCTTTGGCTCGACGCTTGGCAGATTCGAGTTCTGTATTATGTTGGATCAGCAAGGTATTGATCACCTGTCGCAGATGCGTGTTCCCTTGCGTGATCAACGTCCGGATCAACTCTACGTAAAAGTCGTCACTGCCCTCAGACGCCAAGATCTGGACGAAGAAGGGCAAGTGGATAGTCATAACGCAGGGAGATTGTGGTTGCGAGCCGAACTTCCCGATATGATCTTGGGTCTCTGCATTGGAATGATGGATACGGGCTTAAGCCTCGATGAAATTGGATGGGTTGATGAAGAGGATGGAATTCTTAATTACTTTACACCGAGAATGACCTGATCCTCTTGTAAGATACACGTCCTTCCTAGCGTATAGCCTGTCTAAAATTTCAAACACTATCCCTCTCCCTACTTATGTTGTCTTTAGCGAGCGTGGCGACGCCTTGGTAGGGCGATACCATGTCTATCATGGCCTTTGTGCAGACTGGAGGTTCTGGATCCATGGATCAAAGCCCTACGCTTAAATTAATATATGCAATTACTATGTCATGCATATAGCCACTAAATAAGTACTACCGCGCCATGAGCAATCATCTTGCCAAGGAGCTCCATGACCCTGCTCAGAATGCCGCTGAGGCTGTGTACTCATGCATTCGCGATGGTAACCTGTCACGCCTAGTTTAATATAATAGGATACTGCTAATTCGTGGAACATGTAGCCCTTAATGTTGCCATCATGTCAAGCTTTCCTCCACCAAGCGTACAATTTGCTGCACAGTCTCCCGCGTCGTCGTCTGGCTGGTCATGACGTACAGCACATTGCCTAGCACCCGGCAGTGGACGTTCCATGGCCCTCCTGCGCCGCCGCTTCTCCCCTGCGCAACGGCATCCCGGAGATGCTGGGCCGCGTTGCTCTTGTAGCCGGCGATGGTGTCGTCTCGCACATGGATCGCGAGGACGCTCCCCAAAGCCCAGACGCCAGCGATGCGATGCGTCTGGCGAGAGAGTCTCTCGACAAAGTCCAGCGGCCAGGACGCCCACACCAGACTGTCGTTGGCATGGCCAGCCTCCTCCTCCTCCTCCGCTTTCTGCCAGCCTTGCGACTTTGCCCAGTCCCAGGCGCCGCTCTTCTCCATGGATTGCAACTGCCGCACCGACTCGAGCGCGACTTGACACCCGACGGGATGGGCGGTGTAGCTGTGGCCATGAAGGAGCGCGTCCGACTTGTCCTGGCCGCCAAAGACGTGGAAGATGTGCTCGGAGGACAATGTCGCGCAGAGCGGGAGGAGTCCGCCGGTGAGCAGCTTGGCGTGCACCGAAATGTCTGGATGGACGCCGAGGTACGAGGACGACGTGAATCGACCGAGACGGTAGAGGCCCGTGAAGACCTCGTCAAAGATAATCGGCAAGCCGCTCCAGTCCCGCGCGTCCTTGGGGGGTGGCGAGGCGGAGGAGGTGAAGAGGTGCGGCGATTTGCGTACGGTATGGACGAGCGCGCGTTGGAACAAGGGGTCACTCCCCAAGTCAGCTGGGCATGTACACATATGTATCGGAACAGGGACTGACTGGACTTACACGAGCTCCATGCCTCCAGCACCGACAACGATGGGCTCAATAATGACGGACCCAAACTTGAGACCCTTTCTTTGGAGGGCAGCCAGCGTCTGTGCAATGTACTCTTCGTACTGATGGTGCTCGCCGCGCCCTTCTCTGGCTTGGACGTCGAAAATGTCGCCCAACGACCCGTACGTTCGACCCCCGGTCATGACCTCGCCCAGCTTGTCGTTCACGACAATGGACCAATTTCCGTCCCGGCAGAGCACTGTCGGGTAGTCGAACCAGTACCCCTTGCCCTCATACCACTCCGTCTTCTCATTGAACGCGCACGGCTCCGCCATGTCCATGGCGCCAATGGTATCGCCGTGGTATCCGCCCTTGAGCCCTACTATGCCGAGTTTCTGGTGGGCGTCCCAGCCGTAGCGCATACGGGCGGCGCGGAGGCCCATCTTGACAGCGACCTCGGTGCCCGTGCTGCCATTGTCCGAGTAGAAGACGCGGGTGAGGCGGGGGTTGCCCATGGCGTCGAGCAGCGACGAGGCGAGCGCCATGGCCGGCTTGTGGATGCAGCCGGCAAACATGACATGTCCATAGCGGCCAGCCGCGTAGGCGGCGGCGAGGGTGAGGCGCGGATTGGCGTGGCCAAGACCTTGTGTCCACCACGAAGCCGAACCATCAAACGAGGACCGCAGCACGGCCGTGTCTGGCTCGGTGCTTGTCGAGGGACGTGCCAAGGTCTGGAAGTAGTCTCCATGGGCCGAGTCCAGCGTGATAATGTCCTCGGGCTTAAGACATGCCTGCTGCGTGAAGGGATACCAGATGTGCTGATGCGCTTGGGTGGCCAGAGACTCCATCGAATCGATCCGTTCCGCGTGACGACGGTCCAGCAGCGCAAGAACCTGTGCCGCAGCAGCTTCGCATTCCTCCCCTCCATAATACGCCGCCATGGCTTCGGCATCCTTGTCCGCGTCGTCTGCGCGCGCAGGAGGCTCTGGGATGCTCGTCACCGGGATACCATGGTGCTTGTCAAAGTAGTCCATGAGGAAGAGGTAGTTTTGGTACTTGGTGTCCCTGAAGAGCAGCACCGCCTCGACATCATAGCCTCGGATGTGGAGCGACTCAAAGGCCGCAATGGTCTGGGAAATACCGCCAAGGCGAGAGTCACCCACCAGCACGGCCGGGGCGCGGAGAGGGATGTACATGCTACCCTGCGTGCTTCCCGAGGGACTGGGGGAGTGGACGCCGCCGGCTGTTTCCAGAAACAACCAGCCCTTGCCCCGGGCGGCGCGCTCAGCGGCGTAGGCTCGGCATTGGAGGAGGATGTCATTGTCCAAAGGAACGGGCTGTGACTGTTGAGACGGCTGCCGTCACCTTTGCTCTTGGACGGGCATTGACTTACCTTGCCTGATGCCGGGGCGGCGATATGGGGGCTGGCGGGTATGTCGTACTGGAATAGTGTTTTGTGCGCGACACCAGCAGCAAAACGTCGAATGTGACTGGCAATCGAGAGTCAGATGATGTTGGAGCCGTTTTCCTACCCAGAAGAAGCTTCTGCTTTTGTCAGCCCCCATTTTCCATGAACTGAACCGGACAGGTCTCAACCTACACTAATCGTCGGCCTCGTTTAGCGGACCGGTAGACACAGGCTTCAGAAACGACACGTGCTCATCCCTCCAGAGCTTCTTGGCAAGTTTGCAGAGCAGATTCGTGCAGACAGTCTTGCCAACCTCCGTGTTCGCCCCAAATACCTGGTGCACCCTGAGCGAGCGCCAGAGCAGCGAGGCAACAGGCGAGTCCATGGTAGTGGGAATGACCGACAAACAATATGAAGGACACAACAACACAATTTGCTGCTGCCCACCATGAGACTATTATGGCAAGCAAGACCCGGACTTTTTGTTGTTGTTGGGACCGAGTACGTACTGCTGTGACAGCATCACGTGCCCAACATACATTAGGCCGAGGCGGCTCGCCCAAGTATTACGTACAATGCAACCCCCTGCGAGTGCGAATTGAGGCAATTTTGACAGATGGACATTGCGCGTGCAGCTGCCGTGCATATCGTTGAAATTCTGTTGAGCACGATGACAGTCCCCAGCGTCGTGGGCGAGCGAGCCCCTGGTTCGTGAGAGGGATGCCGAGGCCCAGTATCAATATGCCTCGAGGTCGACGGTAAGATCAACATTTCCATGCCAGAGTTTCCACCAGTCAAACCGGTGGTAGATCTACCACAATCGTCTCGCCATGGTACACAGAACAAGTTCTTTGGACAAGTTGTACGCGTCGGTACTCGCTCGTCGTGGCGATCAGGGCCGTCTGCGTCGTCTCACCATCACACCACCGGGCACTGTCGACTTTTCCTCCAACAACTACCTGTCCCTTTCGACAAATGCAGACATCAAACGTGCCTACCTTGAAAAGCTCCAATCGACGACGACGGAGGAGGAACTCGCCTTGGGGCCTGGCGGCTCACGGCTGCTGGATGGGAACAGCGTCGCTGCCGAGTCGTTGGAATGCGCTATTGCGGCCTTTCATGGCGCGCCGGCGGGATTGCTCTTCAACTCTGGCTACGAGGCCAACACGGGGCTCTTTGGCTGTGCAGCCCAGCCGGGCGATGTCCTTGTCTACGACGAGCTCATCCATGCGAGCGTGCACGACGGGATGAGACTGAGCAGGGGCCGAAGGATCCCGTTTGCGCATAACTGTGTGAGAGACAACCCACATGCCGTCCCCGCCAAGGTGACCAAGGGCCTGGACGATGTGCTTGCCGACCTTGTCCGCGGTGAGGATGGCGAAGACTTCAGCAACGGACGGGCCAACGTGTTTGTGGCCGTCGAGAGCGTGTATAGCATGGATGGGGATCTTGCTCCCCTCGCAGAGATTGTCGAGTGCGTCGAGGCGAGGCTTCCCAACGGCAATGGGCACATTATCGTCGATGAAGCCCACGCCACAGGCTGGCTAGGGGACCGCGGACGAGGACTTGTCTCTGCTCTGGGCTTGCAAGATCGCGTGTGGGCGAGGGTGCACACATTTGGCAAGGCTGTGGGATGCAATGGAGGTGAGAACTGTCTGATCACGCTTCACGCGCGCGTGGGCTGGTGTGCATACATGGACTAATGAATTAATTAGCCGTCGTTCTTTGCTCACCGACCGTCCGGGACTATCTCATCAATTACGCCCGCAGCCTCATCTACACAACGGCCATGGCGTATCCGCTTCTCGCCGCCATCGGGACGGCCTATGAGTACTTGGCAGGTGCCCAAGTAGAGTCTCGCCTCCATCACCTCCGCTCCCTGATGCAATACACGCATCGCCTCCTTGCTCGTCTTTTGTGCTCGCTTCGTCCGCCCAGAAGCCTTTTGCATGTGAGAGAGGAGCCCCCCCAATCCCCCATCGTTCCCCTATTCACATTGCATGCTCGGAGCCTTGCGCAGCACTGCCAGCAGAAAGGATTCATGGTGCGGCCCGTCGTGCCTCCGACAGTGCCTGCGGGGCAAGACAGAGTGAGGCTATGCCTCCATGCTGGAAACACATTTGAACAAGTGCAAGGCCTGTGCAAGGAGATCGAGGCGTGGGTGTGCCTGCAGCGGGCAGAGATCAAGTCAGGGGTAGAATTCCGGACCACACAGGGATCATCACAGCAGTCGAGTAAATTATGATTGCAGTACAAGTTGACGGGCGCGCACAATGAAAGGTATGCGAGGAGGAGATATGCACAATTCCTGGCCCACGACCAAAAGACAAGAGGTATGGAGTGTAAAGGACATAACAGCTGGTATTCGCTGGTCGTTACCAACCTGGGGTTTCTTGTCTACTTGGCGTCGGGAATAGACCGGCTGTAGTAAGGCTGGTTCTCCTGAAGTAAATACGTAGTGTCTAAACAAGGACCACGCGTGAGTGAACCTCGTTCAATACATGTATATCGGATATTTAGACTAATATTGTACCTATTATACCTGGGCACCGGCAAAACTACCTAGTTACCCAGTCCATATCCACGGTCGCGCTACGACGGCACGTATTTGCCGAGGAAAAGTGCAATGCATGAGTAATTGAGTATCCAATGGTTGAAATATATATAAGGACACCCACCGATCTATCTGTGCTCCAGCTAGGTAAAGACTGCCGTCATCTCCCATCGCTCACATGTCGTAAGGCACTCAAAGAACAAAAACTAATCTTGATTCCACCGAACAAGTCAGCTGCGGGCTGACGTCTCGTACATACAATGCTGGAATGCATGTCGGTCCGATATCCCATACTTGTCGGCCCGCGAACTAATACGGCCGCGAGGATGCATAGAGATGCAGGCGTTCTCCACCAATCGGGTTTACTTATTAGCCCTCAACAGGCTCAACCTCTGCACCAGACTTGGCGTCCTTTCCATACCCCGAAGAAAGCGAGGGCCTCCACTGCGTGGACTTGCGTGCACTGCTCACTTCTTCGTAGAGCTGATCGACTTGCTCCAGACTGAGTCCCTTTGTCTCGTAGATGAAGAACCAGACAAAAGCAATGCAGATAAAGCAGGCGGCAAACCACACAAAGAAGATTTTGGACTGCAGATTGGCATAGCCATCTCCGTAGTTGACCAGGTACGGCGTGGAGTACGCAATGGCCCAGTTCAGCAGCCAGTTGGTGGCCGTGGTGATGCTGAGAGACTTGGCGCGGGTCTTGAGCGGAAAGATCTCGCCCGTCACAACCCAGGCCAAGGGTCCCCACGTCGAGGCAAAGAAGAAGATGTAGATGCAGACAAAGGACACGGCTGCCTTTTGTCCAGCAAGGCTCTTGACGAAGATCTCGCCGTCGTCGTACTGGCCAGTAGACACGGTACCACAGACGGCCACAATCAGCTGGGAAACGCACATGCCAATGGCACCCCAGAACAAGAGTGGCCGACGCCCCCATTTGTCGATGGCATACATGCCGGGAATGGTCGATGTGACATTGATGGCCGAGGTGATCATCGAGATGACAAAGCCACTCGACACGCCCGAGTTTTGAAAGTACTTGGTTCCGTAGTAGAAGATAAAGTTGATGCCTTGCACAATCGTCAGCCCTGAAAAGCGCACCTACAGTAAAAAGTTACACACCTGTGAGCTGCTGGAGCGCCTGCAGTGCCATGCCCGTGAGCTGCCTCTTGAGGATGGGAGGACGGAAGCAGTCGAGGTAGGTGCCCTTGCCCATGGTGGTCTCGAAATCGTGGTTTGCTTTGATTTCGGCCAATTCGGTCTTGATAGCATCATGCTCGGCTGGCAAGCGTCGAAGACGGCTGAGAGACTGGGCGGCCTTTTCGACGTGGTCCTTTTTGATCAGATAGCGAGGGGTTTCGGGGAGGATGAGCATGCCGATGCAGAGGATGAGAGACCACAGGAGCTGGATAGAGATCGGGATGCGGTAGGATCCAGAATCGTTTCGATTCGCAGTCGCATTGTTCACAATGGCCGCGAGAAGCAGTCCGATTGTGATAGCCCACTGGTACGCGCCAACGATGACACCACGAATCCACTTGGGAGCCGTTTCGGACTGATAGAGCGGAACTGCGTCTGGGTTAGTATCCTTTCCATAGGACTGTATGGTACGTAGACTTACCCATGGCAGAGATCAGACCGACGCCCAGCCCAGCGAAGAAGCGCCCGGCGAGAAACAGTGGGATAGAGGTAGCGACAGTGTTAAGGACGACACCGAGATTGAAAACCCAGGTCGAAATGACCAGCCCGAGTCGACGACCAAAGTAGTCGGACAAGAGCGGAGAGCTAAGGGCACCGAAAAATGTGCCAGCCGAGAGAATGGACACAATGGCAGACTCCTGGGAGGCATTGACGTTGGGATTGCCATTGACATCGATGTAGCCCGTACTGAAAGTTCGTTGCCAGTAGGGCATAGCCAGGATGCCGCTGATGGTGCCGGTGTCATAACCAAAGAGAACACCACCAAAGGCAACAAACATGCCAATCACAATGGCAGGCCATGCCTTGCCCTCTTCAGAGGCCGGCCTGGCCAAGGCGAAGCGGCTGCGAGGCTTCATGGCGGGCGATGCTTGGGTTGGAGAGTCAAAGGAGTTTGCCAAAAACGACAAGAAGAGCGATGCTCCAGGTCAAGGTCAGATGGGTGACTTGGATTGGAACGAACGACAGAAGAGAGAGAGATTGTCTGTTCCATTTATGTATTGCTATGTGATTGTCCTGTCACCTCCGAGATGACAGAGATGGCACCTCGCATGAGGTCCCTCGGCATCGCCGACACAGCTAACTAGGTTTACAGTCACAAGTCGGACCGGGCCTAAGGCCACAGGCATCTGTACACCACGGCCTTGAAAGGGGAATCCCCGATATTGCAGAGGTCACGCAGCTTCAGCTATGGCCCATGGGCAAAGATATCTATGTATTATAACCTTAAAAAGGAAGTTCCCGGCGTCAGACAGGCTGCGGAGCTTCGAACAAGGGTACAGACGCCTGCAGATCACAGCCCTAAAACGGAAAACCGCGATGTTCAAAGGTCATGCAGCTTCGGACGTTTCCATTTTTTCTCCATATCCGCCCCACCTCTTCTCGAACGCTTCCATGGGGTGGTACGGAGTAATATGCATGCATGGTCTGTGTAACCCCGGATTGGCAGGGGCTTGAGCTATACTGACTTGCGTCTATTGGTAGATGCAGGGTGGTCGTGAACTAGTGACGAACAAGACGCGCCTTGGCTGACTCGAGCCTCAGTGTATCCGCCAGGGTGAGATGGAGGAGTATTAGCTTGTGATGTTGAGCTTGTTTGTCAACTGCAACGGCCGCGCCTAGGCTCTCGCCTGCATTTGTCACCAGATTCCGTCGTTACATGTCAAACATACAATGTTTGGCAAAGGAACATGGGCTCGTGAGATACTATTTTCAAACGTCTGAAAGTGTATAACGACGTCCATAGGAGACGTATCTAGCCGGCAGCGGACAAGGATCACCCATCATGAAAGGGCCTGGGACTGAGCAGGTAGCGAGGACTCCGGATGAACCGGCTCTCGTCGTGCCAGCGGTGCCCTCTCCAAGGTAGGTCCGGCTTTCTTTGATAATCACTCCGCGCTGCAACAAGGGATACTCAGAGTTGGATTGGACAGCGCAGTTGCGGCATTTTCTGTTCCCTGTTCTTTCTTGGAGCCGCAGCAGAGATCAAAGGTGAGCATCTGTGCTGAGTGGCATCATCGAGCGGGCGTAGAAGCTTGGCCTTAACGCGGAGGAGGAGAAAGCTAGGACCTGGTGCGGGGAGGTGGGCCAATCTGCTGACGGTCATTGTTCGCACTGTCGCGTTCCCGATCAAGGGTGGAGGAGATGCTTTTACTGGCCAAGATGATGTGGTATCCACTCTAAAGAAGGCGGGGGAGTTCTTCTAGCGCCCTTCTAGCGTCGTTCTAGCATGCTACCAGAACATGACGCTGAGCAGCTGAACATGCCCGATGCATTAGTGTCAACCACCTTCATCAGCACCCTCCCCACGAGCGGACGGTTTCTTCCAGCATCTTGGTGTAAATGTTCAAGATACCGAGGTGCTCGCAAGTTGAATCTGCATACGGACAGGGGTGAATCAAGCTTCGAGCTTCGAATTGTGGGAACGGCGATTCCGAGATGCTCGAGAATCAAGATGGCACAACAACAAGATTTTACAAATCATCATCGCAGGACTCGGCGGTCTTTTTTCCGGAGCCCGAGCGCTGACCTCGCATGCTCAAGTGATCGGGGAGCTCTTCACAAGCAACATGCTTCGAAGTGCTCAGAGAGCATGGCAGGATGGTGGGAGAGGGCTTCTTCAAGTGTGACCAAAACGTATAAAATAGACCTCTTTCCACGTCTTATCAAGTTTCCAGACAACTCTACATCATCTCAGAGAATATCTCACTTGTCTATCATTGCTACCCAAATCCGTCTACATCATGTCTTCTGCCTCTTCTCACACTCCGCTCTTGAAGCTCGGCTTGATCGCCCTGGCGACCTCTGTGTCCGCTGGTCCCCCACGCTCACGACCATGCGCGGGCCCTACCAACCCCGGATTTGAGTCTGGGACCCTTGAAGGCTGGGAGGTCGTCAGTGGCGATGCTTTTGGGAGCAAATCTGTCACTGATGTCCAGTCCTACTGGGACGGCCCTTTCCACCAAGACCAGGACTTCTTCGTCCTGGGCACTGCACAGGCCGGCGAGTCGGCCGTCGGGGAGCTCAAGTCCGGCTCTTTCCAGGTCGGCTCTGTCATGAGCTTCCTCGTCAGTGGCGGTTATGACCCAGACCATCTCTATGTGGGTCTCGTCAGGGACAGTGATGGAAAGGTGCTTTTGAAGCAAACGGGCATCAATGATGAGGCATTCCTCCGCATTACCTGGGACACGAGTGAATGGCGGGGCGAATCGGTTCACATTGTCATCCATGACAGCAGCGTCAGCGAATCCTGGGGCCACATCAACTTTGACGACCTCCGTGTCGGTGCACGCGCAAAGACTAACGGCCCAGGGTTGACATTCAATGTCCTGGGCCAACAAGTCAACCAGCAACCAGCCGGCGAAGAATCGGCTTGTAAGCTCTTTGCAGAGGACCAACTTCGCCCGCAGTATCACTACACTCAGTATCAGGGATGGATCAACGACCCAGCTGGTCTCATCGAGTGGAAGGGAAAACACCACCTGTTCAGCCAGTATAACCCGGATGCCGCTGTATGGGGCCCAATGCACTGGGCGCACGCAGAGAGCACCGATGCCGTCCATTGGCGTGAGTTGCCTGTGGCCCTCTACCCAGCAGAGACGGATAACGAAAATGATGAGTCCGGCGCGTTTACCGGCAGCGCGTTCAGTGACAGCAAGGGAATGCACCTCATCTACACCAACTTCACGGACACCAGCGCTCATCCTGATGCCGTTCAAGAGACTGTCATCATGGCAAGCAGCACGGATGGAATACACTTCGATCTATACGGCGGTAACCCTGTTGTGCCCGGTCCACCAGAGGGGGCCCCTGCCTTCTTCCGTGATCCCAAGGCCTTTCACGACCCGACAGACGATTCGCTGAAGATGGTCATTGGCGCGACAAACAATGTGGACGGACAAGTGCGGCTGTATCGTGCTTCCGATACCTTCTCCTGGTCGGAAGTCGGCATCATGTACACAGGGACTGACGGCAACACGGGCGCGTTGTGGGAGTGCCCAAATTTTCTGCCGCTTGGCGACAAGTGGGTTCTCTTCTATGGCGGGCTTGGACTTGGGTGGTACGAGGTTGGTTCCTTTGACGGGACGACGTTTACAAGCGAGAAGCGCGGTCTTCTGGACGCCGGCCCCGCGAGCTACGCGATGCAGTGGTACAAGGACGAGTCCGGCCGCGACCTGGCCATCACCTGGATGGGGAATTGGCCGACACCCAAGTGGCCCAGCCGCGCCAACGGATGGGCTGGGCAGCAGTCCATTACGCGCGAGCTGTTCTTGCGCGAGGACGGAGGGCTTGGCCAGCGCCCCATTGTAGAGCTGGACAGTCTGGCGAGCGGGAAGACAAAGAACCTTGGACCCAAGAAGATCAAGGACAAGACACACCACATTGGAAGCGAGAACGTGGCGAGGCTGAAGCTGACTGTTGACCTTGGCGCAACGACGACGGCGTCGTCATTCACGCTGTCACTACTCGAGTCCAAGGCCGAGGCTACACTGCTGACCTATAACACCGGGAACAAGACGCTGACACTGGACACGACCAATGCTGGGTACGGCCAGGCTGGCACGTGGGAAGCTGCCATTGCGCCCGAGGCGGACAACAAGCTCACGTTGGATATCTTTATCGATCGATCCGTGCTGGAGATCTTTGCTGGGGATGGGACTGTTTTCTCTGCCACTGTGTTCCCCCGCTACCAAGAGTCGACCAACATCAACGTCGTGGCCGAAGAAGGCGTGGTCATGTTGACAGACGTGTCGCTCACGCCCTTGGGTTCGAGCTGGTGCTAGAGCGGTCGTCGTCGGATAGAATATTATTCTTTTGGAATCAATGCTCTTCGCTGTGATTACCTTGATAAGCAACATCGATGTCATGGGACAAGGGAACGGAGCTAGTCACCAAATCATGTCTAGTGCGTCAAGCCACCATCCTCATAAGGGGGGGCCACTTGCAGGACTAGCTCGCTCTCCCCGCTTCCCCGGGATACTTACTTGTTCGCACCGTGTGGACTCTAATCATTTACTTGTAGAGAATGGGGATGGGGATGGGGAAATTGACCTCCCTCCGCAAGTCAGGTTGATTCTTCAGCAGACGGCCCCTGGTGCGGCTGAGATGCGGAGTACAGCATGTACTAAAACCCCCTGATGCCCGAGTCCCCATGCAACTCACAAGTTGCCATCACTGATCAGCGCGCGCATCTCGAATTGTCGCCCCGACAATTTTGGACGGCCAACATGTCCAACTCCACGTCCAAGCCGGAGAACTCGCTCAAATTAACGCTGGAGGCATGGTCTCAGGGTTTCATGGTCGGTGCCCTTGTGATCATGTGTGGGATTACTCTGGCCAATATGCGTGGGGGTGTCCTTCTTCACAAACTCATCTTGATCGAGGTTGGTATTCTTTTGCTCATCCTTTATCCCACGCTCGGCAGATCATTAAAAGAATCAAGCCTGCTAACAATGAACGCAGCTCCTTCTCGCCGTACCAAACGGCTTTTTCATCTTCTTCGACCCCCCGGTATGGGGCTGGTACCTCTCTTCCACTGCCGTCCCGCTCATCACATCGTGGACGCTGCACAATATTGTCGCGTGGCTGAAGAACAAACCATTCCTGGACCGTCGAGGCAGCCGGCTCTACATTGGTAGCGTTCTTCTCGTCCAGCCGTACTGGGTCCTCGAAATCTATGCAAACTTTACCTACTTTAATGGCATCAATCGCCGTCTCTTCATTGCGACGCGACCGTATGAGGCGCTCTTCCGGTATGCAACTCGGATGACCATCCATGTGGGAATTTGTCCTGACTGCGCGTGTGATAGCGATCCTTGGTGGATATTCACCATCATCAACCTCTTCTGGAACATCAAGTTCCGGTACGAACTCAGCTTTGTCGATATCATGAAAGTATCCCCCCGCTTCACGACTCTACTCTTCTGCATGGTCCTGAGTGTCATTTTTATTGTTATAGACCTGTTGTCGGTCACACGGGTGATTCCCATTGGTTCCATCAACCCTTTTTGGAAGTTTGCTTTTGTCTTCAAGTGTTTCACCGACAGTATCATTCTCGATGACTTCAAGACGGCCCTAGATAAGCTGAGTCGGCATAAGATGAACCGCCTCCTCCCATTCAGCATCGCCATGGACAACTCTTGGGCGCAAGAACCTGGTATGACTCAGCTGCATCACAAATCAACGAAAAGAAGAAGGCATAGTCTGGATATGGGCTCGGTCAGGGAAGTGGAGTTGGTCCACTCACCAAATTCAAGTAGGGAGATGTTATCGGATGTTGGTGGGCTCTGTAGCCCTTCCCCAGCTATTGTAAGCTCTGCATCCGGAGACGCAAGTAAATAGGACGAATCGCTGAATGTTGCTTTTTTCAGAATGCTTGCCCGAGTATCAGCCTCCCATTTCTGGTGCAGCTCGATCCATGGCGACTGCGGCATTTCACCATGTCGATGGGATCCTATAGTCCTCACAATGCACCGCGGCATCCTTGAACACATCGATGGAGCCCTGCACCCCGTGCGGCCCGACCGACCAGACACCCCGCTCGACGAGGCTTGCAAAGTGGTCAAACAAGCGCTCCAGTCGCTGGGTCCGGTACGCCTCTCCCCCAAGAGGCTTGAAGCCATGCTGGAATAGCTCGTCTACTTCGTTGTGGAAGTTCCGTATGTCATTCCCGTCACTATAGAGCGCCCCAGGTACGGTAAAAGGGAGCAGCAGCCGGAACCCTTCCTCGGTGGCATGAGCGTGGGATCGGACGACACATTCACTATAGACGCCACGGGGGACTCTTGGTGGGAATGGGATGTCGTCTGCGATTTTGCGCTGGCCGTTGCTCCAGTGGAGCTGGAACGAGGTATTCCAGTCTGAAATGTCCACCTCCGGAACGCCGCCCTTGCTGAAGAACATGTACACGGGCGGCACGATGCCTTCCTCCCATGAGTCGTAGTACTGGCGCACGCGTCGGGGCAGATTGGTGAAGCGCTGGGCCGCGGCAAACGTAGTCGCGTCGGCCGGAGGAAGAGAGAGTCCAGGGGCGATCTGTTGGATGTGTCGGGGACGACGTGCGCGGCTCAGGAAGCCGCGCGCAAAAGATGGATCCGGGACGTTGGCTGCATCCAAGGCCGCCGGCGTGAGCAAGGGTTCATGTTCGCTGAAGACTTCCTTGTCATCCATATTGTCGACATGGCCCGCGCCCGGCGGCCGACGGCGGGCCTCGATGGCGTGGCAGAGTCGATCCCACGCCGCGACGCAGGTCGCAATCTGGCCGTCCCCATAGGACCACCACTCCCAGTTCCCAACCTTAAAGCCATCGCGTCGGTCCTCTTTGGCGATGGGAGAGGCCACGACCTTGCCGAGATGGATCAGGTCTATCCAGTGGGAAAGGATGGTCTCGAAGGCATGCCAGCTCTGCGGGTGTTGATCCATCGGGAACGCACATTCCGTGTGCTCGGGGTACGCAGCAAATGTGGCCTGGTGACGGCCCTGGTGATAGAGCAGGCCGCCGCCGCCTGCGTCATCGTCAAACGATTCACAGCTGGCCATGTACAGAAACACAACGGAGTCCTCGGGCTGATCCAATAAGTCAGCGAGTTCATTGTCGAGGAGGAACGCTGAACCGTCCCCTGGTAATCGCATGTTCGCAACAAAATAGGAGAGTGGGTTCTCGTCATCGAACTCATACGCCCTTTCTAGGAAGGCGACCACAGAGTGGTGCAGTCTTGGGCGAAGAGCCTCGGCTGCAGCGCCATGCTCGCTCCAGTACGTGGCACGGCTGCCCTCAGTGACTTGATCGAGCCGACCCTCTATCGCTAGGCAGTAGTCCAGAAGATAGTTATGGAGGGCAGCGCATCGCTCATAGTCCATGCCATCTCGGTCTGTTCGGGGCGGATTGGCAGGCGTGACGAGCTGGTCGTCGATGCTAGGAAGTTGGGACGCCGACATTGTGTCGACAGAGCTTCTAATGCTGGGAGATATTAGCAGTTCATAAGTAGGCAAGTTGGGAAGGTTTGTGAAAAGGGGGTATATTGACTTAACGGGGATCCCCACAGTTCCGCGCACTTTACCCTATGTAGTACATTTGTGCAAAGGTTAGATGCATCGTCTCATCCCAAGCCCACGCGATCTCATCTGAGAGGAGTCGCTCCGGGCTGGGGGGGTTCCCATCACTATCGAATGAGAATATAAAGTGCCAATCACGAACCATCCGTAGCTGAGGTCCACTCAGAACAAGCCCAGAGCTCTCACTAATAAAGGTCACATTCTCATCGGGACAGCCCCCCCCCAACAACGACACTCGGCCCATATCTCCCCCCACCACCAATCCCCAGGCTCGAGCACAGTCCTGACCTCCACAAGGCTGTCAAACTCACAAAGAGGACGCATGGCATTATAATCTGCGAGATTATAATACCAATCCTCGTCGTCGTCGGTTCGAATATGGAGTCGCTGAATTTCACCCCGATGAGACTTGATATCGCCGAGCGACATTATACTCGAGACGCAAAAAATATCGAGCGCAAAGTTCACCCACGTCCAGCGCGGCTCGGTACCGGCGGTAAATGCACGCCTATACGGCGCATACTGGCGAGCCTCGCGGCAGACCTGAACGACGGCGGGCGGCGGGGCGGATGTCGTCTCGTAGAGGATATCGAGGCCCTTTCTGCGGTGCTTCCGCTTGAAAGGTAAGTCGCTCATGACCATGCGTACATTGGTGATACAACGGGGCTCGATGTCTGTCAGGCTCCAGATGTAGGTGCGCAGCTCGAATGGGAGCTGTGCAAAGGACATGGTGGAATGGCTCATGAGCGTGGAGAGTCGAACGCAGGGGAACAAATTATTTTATGTTGGTTCCAAATGAGCAAGATGGTCAAGTGTCAAGGGCTGCGATGCTCCCAGCCCCCTAGACCCTGACCCTGCTGCAGCCTAGCCTCGGCCAGGGTCCATCCTTCCTCGACGGCCGAGCACGCGGGCCCGTACTGTACCTTCCTATTTTGAACACAACAACCAACAGGTAAGTCAGGTAAGGTACCTTAGTATCACCATTCACCACGCACGTACCAACTGAAGTCACTACAATTCCGAACCCCACCAGCCAACTCATTGCAGCCACGAACCTCAAAGAGGCGGGACCGCCGACGCTCTGCTCACGGGCTTTCTGTTGGCCTCGCTTCGGACATGGAGGCCTAATTAGAATCTAACGATCCAGTCTGTTTGGTGTTCCTGCATCCCGGCCCGGCGGCCGTAATCGGCAGGCTCCTCCCTGCCCCTGTTGTAGCGCTTGGCGTCGGTTATCGCACTCACCGCCGCGGCCCACGTCCAGTCGGACATACTGACTACCACATGATCTGTGTCCGACTCGACTTGAAGTCTCTTCTACCTTCTCCCTCTCATCCCCTCGAAAAGCCGCAGGAGTAACCATGGCCCAAGTCACAAGATCGTCCTCTGGCACCGCACACTGCCGCACAGCGCTCTTGGCCGCGGCGGCGTTGGCCCTTCTCCCTCTTTGCGCTGCTAGCACGCCCAAGCCAATTTTCTCCACGGATCCCGCTACTGTCGACACCTGCATCGACTGGTACAACAATGCCGAGGAGAACCCGACCTGCGAGGACATCCGGGACCTGTTCGCCCTCACCCCAGAGCAGTTCTCCAAGTGGAATCCATCCCTTAGTCTTGACTGCGAGCCCTGGCTCTACCCTTTATCCTATTGTGTGTCTACGAGCGACAGAGGGCCCCCTCCGGGCGACACTACTACAACCACCACCACATCGAGTACTGTCACCTCTACTAGTACCTCAAGCTCCCATGTACCCTCCCCGACGGCTTGGGAGGCCAGAGGCTGCTATCCTGACGATCCAGTCCATCCCCTGCTCGAGACTATGATGACAGGTGAGGAAGGCAATCCTTCCTTGGATATTTCTAGCTGCGAGCATACATGCTGGGAAGCCTCCATCAACGGCACTGTCCTTTTCGCGGGGGTGAAGCAGGGCAACCAGTGCTGGTGCAGCACCTTTGTGGGTGGTGAGTCGACGAGGAACGAGTCCAAATGCGATATGCCGTGCAGCGGCAACAAGGACGAGACGTGCGGTGGGAGGGACTACTTTAATGTCTTTGAGCCCGTCACAAAGACCTGGGGAGGCCCAGTCAGCACCAAGGAGACGGAGACCTCACAAGCGGAGACGACTCAGGCGGAGGCGACACAGTCCACGGCCATTGCTCAGTCAATGACCGACTCGGGCGCTGTGCGGTACCGTGCCCTTTTTTAGACGTTTCTGTATGACCACGATTCTTTACTCGTATGGTTGGGCTGTTAAGACCTAGGAACATATACCCCATGTCGTGCATTTCATATTTGAGTCCACCCCACCTTGCTCATACATATCCAGTTCTTTTTGAATAACTTCTTCTCGAACGAGATAGTCACCATTTTCGAACTCGAGTCTCCAGCTGAGAGGGTACACCAGGCCTGACTTTGGGGACACCCAGGTATCGGACATGTCGGGGATCAAGTCATACGCAAGAACGTGCTGCGATTCGCCGATGCGAACGGTCGCGAAATTGTAGATGGTGTTGTCCTCGAGAGGACCACGGTCCTCCGACCAGATGCTGGCCTTGATTTCGGTGCCGGGAAAGTTGAGTTCAAACCAGGTCCAGTTGCGGGGGGCTCCGTATGATATCTGACGGTCGTACCAAGTAAAGGAGTTCTTTGTGTCAATCTCGACATGGAGACCATCGAGCGTGAGGCTTCCAGTGGTCTTTGCCGCCGGAATGCCCCATTCCGTCGCATTCGACGGGCCTGGTCCAAAGCCAATGGAGCCTGATCCGCCGTTGAGTACAGGCTTGGACGTGTCCTCCCAGCTGATGTCGAGGGAGAAGGAAGCATTGGTGTTGGCATAGGTGCGCATCTGCGCAATGCTGTCGTCAGCCGTCGACACAAATCCATATGTATCGAAGTCGCCATCGAGAGGAACGGATGTATCCGATGCCTTGCTATCCTTGGGGCAGTAGGTGAGATCGACCCAATACTCGAGGCTGTGCAGATCGAGAACAGACGATCAACACACGCCTTTCTGCGGCGTCATGATGTGGGAGATGGCAAGATACTGCCTGCCTTCGGTGCCGGTAATGAAGGAGCTTATCCACCACGACGAGCCCGTCTCCACGTCGTATTGAGACGTGGTCAGATTCATGAGTGTGGGGATATAGGTCTGAAACGGTTAGATTTATGTCAAGAAAGAAAAGAGTATGGCAGAGACGCACATTCTGGTAGGTCGCTTCATGCTCCGGCTTGAAGACATACTTCTTCTGGTGGGCCGCACCGAGCATAGTTGCTAGGAGGCTAGCGAAGGTGGTCAATTTAGCAAACCGGCCCATGGCGGCTGCAGTTCAGTTTGGGAATGATAGTAGAAGAAAGCGATATGAGATGAGAGGTAATGATTGAGCTGAGGTGTTTGATAGTCGATAGAAGATGTCTTTCTTAATTAGTTTGGGGAGGAGATGTGATTATAATACATATGTAGGAATTGAAGGCATGATTCTCGACGCGGACATCGGGCCTTCCAATGCCCCGATATCCGCGAATATCCCCATGGCAATATTGACCAGAATGAGCTACTACTTGGTGTCGTTCTCTAAGCATGGGCGCGGGAGACCTGGACGGCGATCATCTGTGCCATTGAGACTAACAACAATCCCCATTAGGTCTGGCGTAGGGGGTTTCTTTCGGCATCTATCTTACTCCATATTAATTACTCCATATTAGTAAGCGGAGTATGCCCTGAAAGCCGAAAGCGCCCATGTCAAAGCCCAAATCACAGAACGGAGGGAGTGAAGTCAAGGCTTATACGTCCGTACCAATTCTTCATGCGTCTCCATCAATTGCCTTTAGATGAGTCGGGTACGACGAGTCCAGAACTGCGCCACTTCTAGTGGAAGTCTGCGGGACTCAATCATGTCCGTGGAGTTGCATGGATCAAATTGCACCCCTCGAGACGTCATTGAACGACTAAGCCTCTCTCCCCAGGTTCAGACCCCGAGGACGCCGGAACGAAATGGAGACGGGGCGGCAAACGGTGAGGCCTGGCCGCCGGTGCCCCCGTACGGGGCTGGAAGATGGTCGGCCGGCTGCGGATCCGCCTAGTCTACATGTAGCCTACGCGGAGTCGGTCTCGTCCACAATCTTCCTCGCCAGAACGGGACTTACAGGTTGCAGCAGTGAACAAACTCCGCTCTTCCCCTTTACAATTAGAACTATGAAAAATCTCGGTCTCAACCTAGCAAGACAACTTCATCCAGCCGCCGGACTGCCTCGAACAGAGGAACCGAGTCCAAGGCTGTGTCAAACATGGCGCTTCGCAAGGCCGCCCTCAAGCATGCAAGAAGAGCTCTAGCTAAACGAATCGTCACCGTCCCCGATAACATATCTGATGCAGCATCAGGAAAGAGCCTGTCAGTATCGATCGGAAACTTGGCTACAAAGTTCATAACTGTCGGCATCTCAATCGCACCGTGGCCTAGATCAACGACAACTGAGCCGTCGAGGCCTTCTGAGAGAAGACGAGCCGACTGAGCGATGAGAGAGCGGAACTCTGGACTTGTCAGCATGACACAGCCTATTGATGTGAGTGCAGTTGTCTCTTTGGTTGAAGAGGTTGGCGTCGCGTCTTGAAGGGCAAGATTTAGGGCGTGCAAAGCAGAGTAGTATTTCCTTGTCGACCGAATCAGCTGGGTGAGATCATAGAAGGATCGTGACGCTGTTTTCAGAGGATCCTTGACGGCTTCTTCGAGGCCTAGCGCGTCAATGCTCCCCATGATCCTCGCCAAGAGTTGTGGCAAGGATGAAGATGCGGCCTGGCAGATAAGGGCTCGGCAAGCCGAGGGCTCACCGGACATGAGATAGCCATGTGGGCTCAGCTCGAGGTCAAGAAGAGCAAGGCCGATGAATTGCGCATCTTCACGACGAAGATGTCTTCGACCGTCGTAGGCTTCCTCGAGGCGGACCCACTCGCTCTGCCTCTCATGGTATGTGCCTCCGTCTGCATTGTTGATATCTCGTACGTCCTCGGTGCTGAGCGAGATCTCTTGCAGTGACAGGACCTGCAGATCAGGCACGTCGGCATGCACCACGCCGGCTAATTCAGAGAGGTCGGCCTCTCGCTCGTTCCATTCATCGAGACAGAATCCTCGCGGGCGATCAGGATCAACAGAGTTCGTGGCGTTCGCATCGCGCAGTCGTGGTGTGATGTATTTCGCCGCGGAGGTTTCTGTTGGTCTGAGGCGGCGACGCGGTACGTGTTCTGGATCGACGGATATAGACTCGTCATCAGAGTCATCGAAATGCACTGCTCTTGGTTCAGCAGGCCGCGGGAGATAATCAAACACCGGGGTCCTTGGCTGTTGACTAGAGGCTGCCTCAGGACTAATAGGGATATCCTGGACATCGTCTAAGCAGATGACGCATCCAGAGCTGCCAGGGAGGGAGACAGCCAACCGCCATCCAGAACAGCATACCAACCCTATATTTGTCTTTCCCAAGATGGCCTATGCGGTCGAGTTCATGACGCGAGAAGAATACGTGATCTTTTGGATTCACGTGGTGTCTGTCGCTGCCGCGTGAGGATTCTGTTGTTGGTAAGAACATTGTGCCGTTAAGCCCGTACAGGGGTTGATAAGTTATGTCGTCCACATAACGGTAGTCCCGGTCGTCTTGCCATGGGGCGGCCGACTTCTTCCACGGCTTCTCAATCGGCTACCCCGAATAAACTTGGAGTCAATTTTGGCTTGATTGCTGGTGATGCCATGAGAAACTTGCAATGGCAGTCTTCCCTTATCTTGCCATGGACCGTATCGACCGAGGAGTCCCGTGAGCTGAAGCCATGAGGTGTTGACAGGAAGAAGTGCCTCTTCATCCCTAATCACTAGGCTATCTCCCGTCGACATTGGGACGTTATAGCCTTCGATCACGCTTCCGAACTGCACCCATCCAGACGAAGTTTTTGCAGAGGGCACGCCATCAGCTTGGCTCCTGATCTTGATCCTGGATGGAGTACCCCGAGTGGGAACAGCCTCGAACTCAAAGGGCTCCAGGGCGAATTTGGCATCCCGGAGATCTGGCTCTTTGTAGAGCAAAGGCGCTCGGATCTGGCGAAGAAGGCGGCGTTGACCGCCTGCCCAGACACCTCGACTGACATAACCAAAGCTGTCGCCTACACGCCTTGTTAGGGAGTCGATGGCCTTGTTGCGTTTCGTTTAGCTTGCGCGCCAGACAAGGACAGGCCCGACGATGCCAATGAGGGCAAAGAGAGCCAGGCCGACGCCTAGCCAGGTCCCGATGGTAGATGCGATATCTGTTGCACTCGGCTCGTCAGCCATTTTCGTGTTGCCAGGCGTTTGAAGGTCAGACAAACAATATCGCTCAGGAAACGAAGCAATATTGACCCCTCATTCTTCGAAAGTCTATGCATGTTGGCAATGAGCTGATGAATAAGCCTATGATTGGCTAAATGATTGTTGGTTGCAGAATACACGTCAATCCTGCAGCTGGCGATGGTACATGTAGCCAGCAACCTCGGACGCCATCTGCAGATGGCCATGATGAGAACGGCCAATCATTCAGTGGCTGCTCCTCCATGCACGTCCCGTGCGGCGGAAGTCGATGGAGTGGTACCACATGCTGCTCTGCTAGGCTCTTGCAAGGTTGTCAACGAGAATTACCACCCGGGCGTCTATCAAGGCGCTCCTGAGTCCTCACCAGTCCGTGATGGACAGACCAAGAGAAGAGAACATGCTCTCTCTTTAATCATGCGGAGTGTTTATTACTACTACCAAGGCATCTCATTCCAGTGGGAATCCGCGAGACTCAATGGAGTCCGAGATGGAGGGTGCCGATTTGTCACCATTTAACGACCACAGCCTCCCTATTCCTAGGTCCGGACCCCGAGGACGCCGCTGTAGGTAACGGCTGCGCATTTTCATGCGAATGCGAGCCCATGCCTTGCATGCTTTGGGCCACTTGAGCCAGAATGCAACTCGTGGTGGTGACTGCGGTAGTATCTAGGTGCTATTTGTCCGACCCCCTATCCAAACAGCTAGCTTCATTCGCCAGCAAGGTCCGCTCCCTGATTATTGTATTGTTGTGGTCTGTTATTTTGTGGTCATTGAGCGCATTACCTGACTGTATTAGACTAGACTACGGGAGTGTCGGGGTGGCTCACTCAGGAGCAGGTCGACATTTTGAAGAAAGGCCGTCAATATCCAGTCCCGGGCATCAAGACATCTTGCGGATATATGCCGACTTTAGAAGTCATGATTGTGTTTTGTGATCTCTTCGGTCCTAGTCTTCTTGGACACTCTGTTCAGTATTTTAGAAAACGACGATATGAGGCTGTCACTCCTCTTCCATAAAAGTTGCCTGCATTCGGAGAGATAGTGCTTAACCCTACAGAGTTTTTGGTAACAGCAGTGTCATTTTGGATGTTCTGGATGCATTCAGGGGCGCCCTGAACCTGCTGGAGGACCTCCTGGAGCGCGGGTTGACCCAGGAACTTACATGTACATTACCAATGAGCACAAGCGTTGATCCCAAATATTGGTGTACTATATTGTGTGGCACCTGGTTATGCCGACCTCTGTCCACTGAGATAGAAGAGTGAAATTATCATTTTCGTTTCATACCTCTTGAACGCACGCGAATACACATTTTATGATTCTGCAGCCGAACGTGAAGTGTTCAACTAGACCCAGGAGCCTTGGACTCACAAATATGGCCACATAATGCATGTTCCCCGGATCAACCCAAAGAGGGATCTACGGATGAAGGGATATATGGCAGCGTAGGGATTCTCCTGGAATCCACGACTGGCCTCCTGTGCGAATTGAGGTCCGGACAGCCACGATACAAGGCGAGCTGCATGACGGGGAAAAGAGTGACCACTGGCACGCACGCGGTAACAGAAGCTATTCTGCGGCTGGACTATGAGAGAGCGGAGGGTATGGTCGTAAGCAAAAAGACATACAACAGCCGGGGTTCGCTGGTCGTCTCCGACCCAACTACTGATCGGCCCCTTAGCGGCTTGACGCTTGGAGAGCGGACGGGATCCCGTATTTTCCACTAGGTGTGGTCGTATGTGCTCGATTGTGCCATTCCCAGAGGTTATGAACATATTCCTTGCCCTTGCTTGTGGGAATGTCTGCCATTTGGAGTCCTGGGCGTCGTAGCAGCCCTCGTCCTGGCATGATACCCCGGCCGTCAAGCTATTGCTTCTGGGTCGTAGGTCACCAACCAATCGCCAGCGGGCTCGTGTTCAGGCAGTCTGAGTGCTTGAGTTGCACTTGTTAATGCCCCTCGCAAATAGCATAGCACTCGGGCGTAGGGGGGGTCGAAGACGAACAGCGGCTCACCGGTGATGCTGTCTTTGACGTTGGCCGTGGCCAAAAGCTCGTCGATGGAGATAATATGGCTAGGGCCGTTCGCAGTCGACGACCAATTGATCTGTTCTTCGATATGCTTTGCAGTATAGGGTCGAACCGGGTATCGATGAAGTACGACTTGTGCTAGCCAGCTGCCGCAAAGTAGGGAGTATCGGGCACTACAATCTTGGGGCCATGTTACATGTAGGCGTTGACGGACCTTGGCTTGTATTTGCTGCGATACTCCTCTTGAAAAGTTGACGAACCCTCGTCGGGTCTGAATGGGCTAATGAGTATGGCGATGAGCAGCGCAAATGCTGTCTATAGACGTCCATTGCTCCCTCTTTCGTATTTTCTACTATCATTCACTGCTCCCCTAATTACGGCAAGCTTATAATGAGTGATCAGATTTTATTTATTTGAATCAATCAAGCCAGTCCTGGATCTTTATATTCAATTCAACCGATTAACCTACCCTACAGCACTCCCTCCTCGACAAGTTGCCACCCTCACTACCTCGTAAGAACAATAGGATAGAGTCGCTGAAGCTTAGTCTTATTACTCGTTTCCGTGGTCTCCTGCGTGGTTGGTAATGGAAGTCCCTTTCAGCATTGTCTGGCCGATGGCCAGTAAGGTAGTAGGGAGCCCAATTTCTGACTTCGCTGCTCATAGCAGTGGAAAGACACCCAATTATTAAAACCACAGACAGGCAAACTTAAATACAATCGCTATATGCCCTACGCTAATCTGGAAACATGGAAACTCAATATAACAGTCATTGTACGGTATTTGATGAGTCAAACTGGGCGAAGAAAAGTCTAGCACAAAGAAGTATCACGATACCGATGTGATGAACACATCACGTTGGGAACTTCTGATATGCACAAGAATACGCGTCGGAGACATGGGCGCGAACAGCGCTGTCATCAACAGTCTGATCGCGTAGCAACCTTACTTTGCAGCACACCGCGAACCCAACCCAACCGCATCTGACGGCTGGACTCGGCATCGCCTGGGGGCTGGACCGAATGTTGAATATTTTCTGACATCGTGCAGCGCATCCATGTTCGAATTGAACACTCGACGGCATCATGACGTCTTCTCCAGCCAGCACCCCCAGGGATTCCCCAGCTCCCACACGCGCGCTGCAGCTCGTCACGCAAGCAACCGCCTTGGCGGGCGTCAGGTGAGCAGCCGCAGGCAACACGATGCTCCAGCCAACGTCAGCGGGAAGAGCACGGCGATCCTTTCGGCACGACGATTGCCATGTGCCCAGGTAAGAAGGATGAGTTGGGATGTACCTAGACTGAACGAATTTGATGGCAACTGGTGGTGGTCGCAGCCAGGATCGCCATGCCAGTCTCGTTGGACAGCGCACAGGAATTGGGGGTTGGTAATAACTGGTTGGATGTCAACAGGATGCGATCTACGCCCAGTTTTAAAGCCACCGCATCCATTACTAGCCGGGCGACTGCCCTTGCACGGAAATTGAACGCAAAAGAGCATGGTTTGATCAAACTCGTGCCGCTTCCGGAGGAAGGAAGAACAGCAAAGAAACTTGAAGGCACCCCTGGTCACCATCTCTTGAAACAGACGGCTCCCGCTATGTCCATTATACACCAGGCGGAATGTACTAATGGAGGCCTCTGGAGAAATGCCGAATTTGCAAAACACAGTGAGTCAAAACGCGTGCGAGTACAGACGATACTTTGCACATCGGCCCAGGCTCTGTTTCGGTCGGTCAAGACTCAAGAGGCAGCCTGAAGGAGCCGTTCTGGTGATATCCCTGCCAAGCCTCTAGGCGGAGCGGCCTCCTGCCGCGCGGATCGTCGATATCTGTCTCTGGTATCCGTACGTACATACGAGTCGGCTTGTAAAGTTTCAAGGTGACTGTAGCTGTGATTTGCTATTGCTACAAATCAACAAGGTACTGACTGGACTCTGTCACTCAGAGCTCCTTTAGTTCTGTCCGGGCAGGGCAGATTCATCATTCAGCCAGCCAGTCACGCAGCTGGCCCCCCAACACAGTGCCAGCAGTTCTGTCGAATCTCTGGCAGACCCATCGACAAGCCAAGCCCTCACACTACTGTAGCAACGACCTTTGTCATGTTTCCAAGTGCAACAGTCCACGTAGAGTCGTGGTGCGATGCGATTGCATAGGCTGCATTAAGCACGCGTCGTGCAAGCGGGTGGCAATCAAGGTTAACAACAACTCTAATAGCGGTGTCTAACTCAACCTCAAGGATGGCCTCTTTCTTGTTGAGGCACGTGGTCACCTGCCTCTGTCATCCTCATCTTTTCGGACAGAGGTTTGTCCGTCTCAAGTCACGGGATGTGGCAGATGGAGACAAGAGAGCCGAGCACGGACGCGTCGCCAAGGCATTATTCTCCGGGGAACACAGGCCTGACGTTGTGCTTCAGGGGGTGCCAGGGGGACCCACGAACGCGCTCGGCAGAGCGGCACGAGGCGATTGCCCACGCGCACTTGGCGATGGGGAGAAATGGATCGTTTGAGAGTTGAGAGTTGAGACCTGCGGCTGCGCGCTGCCTCCCGTTTGCTCGTGGAGGACGACGCGTCTGCGTACGGGATCAGCCTCGTGTCATGGAACTGCGCTTGCCTGAAGAGCAGCCTGAGGCCCTGAGATTCGTTGCTTCTGAAGTTCTGAGTTCTGAACCGTACGTCAGAGGCTGACTTGGCATAGGACAGGGATTGATGAGTTTCCCGTGCCGGTGCCGAAGGCGTCAGAGCCTCAACTGGGCTTGGCCTCGTGTCGACGAAACAGTCGACCTGGATTCTCATTGCCACCCACAATTCGCGGTGGGCATCTGGAAATGAACAGTGCCGATGTGAACGCAGGACCTGAGGACAGATTCGAGTCATTCCACAGAGGACATCTCCTAGATTGCCGTAAGGCCTCAGTGTCCCCACACCCCCACTTGCCTTGGTCAGTTAGTAGGGTACGTATACTCTAACAGAGTTCGGTGAGCAACACGACAAAACGGGATACGGTCACGCCTCGCGGCGAACTCCGGGCTACAAGCAGCGTTACCTAATTTTGGTGGTATCGAATGTATTCCTTCAATTAACACCGGTCATGGGCTGTAATCCTTGTTGTGCGTGGGTCTGAGGCCTTACGGCAATCTAGGAGATGGACGCGCCGAGGACGCGCTGGCCGTGCTGGCCGTGCTGGCCGTGTGGGTTCCGGCCGTAGACCGGGGATGAAACGGACTTGTCAGCGGTATTGGCGCCAAGTCCGGCCTTTGTTTGCCGGTGTTGCTATTGCAGCAAATTTGCAAACGGCCGATTCCAGCCACTCTCGTACGTACGCGAATCGTCCAGCCAAGACGATACGTAGTCACTGAATCGGAAGCAAATCTGCCTCACCATTCACAGCGCTATTTGTTATCAGAGCGTAATTAGGCGCAATTATCACCGGGTTTAACGTACGTACACACGCACGTACGTACAACAAAACACCGCAGCAAAAGGGAGCTAGAAGCCGACATAGGTGAGAAAGAAAAAAAAAGTTGCAAGTCAACTCGGATCAGCAATTGCCGGCCAGAGCGACCGGAGAGTGTCTTTCCTAATGCGTGCATGGTCTCGGAGCGCTTGTGCGGCAGGCGGGCCCAGTGAGCTCTTGCACTACGGAGCGACTACGTACGAGTACGTACTTCACTAACCCTACAGGACTGACCGACGGACCGTGAGAGCAGACATTATTGTCTTATTGCCTAGGGGTTGATTAACCAAAGGCGACGACAATAACACGACAGCCTAATTCATGGCAGCGACGCCATCTCGGCCGTTCTATCTACCGCCTGGTACGTGAGGAAGCAGACGGATGTAAAGCCACGCACATGTCTACGTACTACCACGTCGGCACAACCGCCGGCGTTTTGCCCACGGACCGTAGTCGAATATTCATCGCAGCAGGCAGACCTGAACGCGAGCGCGAGGCTCACCAGGA